CAGAGGGGGAGACTCCATGCCCTCTCTTGGTACCACCCTCCACGATGCTCCCCTGGGCTCAGCTCTTCCAAAGAGGCTCGCAGCAACCTTGGTCCTCGGGGCTTTTATAGAAGATTTCCTTGTGTAGGCACCATCGGGCCCATCAGTGATGTGCTTAACCTTCAGTCTCTCCTCCAATGGAGGAACAGTGGTGGGAGTCAAGTTCCAACCCTCTAATCACATGACATCAATCCCCAGGTGGAGACCCTCCCTTTCCTCCCGGTCATTGCCATTACTCTGGAGATGGCAAGGATTGTAGCAAACAGGATGAGATCCAAATACCCACTTTCCAACAGCACAGAGGCATAAAGGGGAGCAACTGAAACTCCCTCCTGGGCCCCCTGCACAGGCGGGGCTGGCTGAGGGGCGGCTGCAGTTGCCAACAGCAGAGCAAGGAGGGATTTGGTTTGTTCACGGCATGTAGACTTATCTAGATGATAAGTAGACCCGCTGTTTAGGCCATAAACAAAACTGACTACACAATGCTTCCGGGCGCTAACCAGATTGTTTCTGGGATAAATTCCCAGAAGTAAGACTGCGAGGTAGAAGAGAGCGCATTTTTCGGACACTTGAAAGGTTGCATCAGTGTGCACCGCCAGCCACCCACTGGAGCGCACACCGCGCCTGGATGTCGCTCTTCTCCTCCCATCCCATGGGGGAGAACGCAGAGTTCCTGATTTAGTGTGCATGTGTTTGATCACCACAGAGAGGGAGCAGGTGCTCCTGCGTTTAGCCAATGCTTTTCTTTTGTCCCCTCAAGTCCACGAGTCATGTCTTTGCATGTGGATGTGTTGAGGAGCTGTTGGTGGCTCTCCTTCCTGCCACCGTCATTCTCCAGGAGGGCGTTCCAAGCACGAGCCCTGCCTCAGGCCTGCTCCCTGGCATGCCTGCAATTAGCAGACTGCTTGGCAGGGATCAAGACAGACAGGTTGTTTCTTTTTAAAGATTTATTTACTTTCATCTGAAAGGCAGATTTACAGAGTGAAGAAGCGACAGCGAAAGATCTAATGTCCACTGGTTCACTCCCCAAGTGGCCACAACAGCTGGAGCTGAGCTGATCTGAAGCCAGGAGCCAGGAGCTTCTTCTGGGTCTCTGACACATCTAGAGTTACAAGACCTTGGGCTGTCCTCGACTGCTTTCCCAGGCCACAAGCAGGGAGCTGGATGGGAAGTGGAGCTGCTGGGATTAGAACTGGCGCCCATATGGGATCCCGGTGCTTGTGAGGCAAAGATTTAGTCAATGAACCATCGTGCTTGGCCCAAGGTTTGTTGTTTCTTTCTTTTTCTTCTTCTTTTTTTTTTTTTTTTTAAAGAAAAGGACCTGGGGAATCCTGCAACACCTGCAGCTTAAAGCCTACGTGGATCATGTTCCCTGGCACCTCGGTTGCCCTTTAAAGGGATGAGTCGTTCTTCTGCTCATGCTCAGTAGGATCAGATAACCTAAGAGGCAGAACTAGGGAGTTCTTACAAGCAACCCAACAGCCCTGATGCACAACACCCATTTCAAACAGTACTGATCACTGCCATAGATAACAAGGATTTCTGCTGCTCCATCTTGATGTGGAGCAACACGTTTTCTATTTGCCTATTTTGAAGTGTAAATCACCCAGGTCTTAAAAAAAAAAAAAGTCTTAATTGGAAACAAAGGCTGGATTGTAGGACTAATGCCACCTGGGGACTGAAGTGAGCCAAAGCTGTGTTGAAGATGACATGAGAGAGTCCAGGGAGCCCCAGGCTGTGTAGGCATCTCTGCATATTCCTGCCCTTCTAAATCCCTTTGTGCGAATGAGTCACAGGCGCAGGGCCCCGGGGAGCTGCGGGCATGGGATGGCGCGCCCAGGTGCTGGGGTTCTGGGCGCAGCAGCGGACGAGCCACAGGCTCAGGCGGTGAAGGCGAGCAGCATCTTCCACAGGAAGAGGGACCCGTATCGGCCCTTTGCCTCTCTGTACGTGGGTGGTTCTCAAAGTTACTACATTTTTCTGTTCATTTTTATTTGAAAGGCACTTTATGCTGTCAACGGAGATGCCCCAAAGGTGCGTTATCGACAGGAAGCTGGAAGTAGTGCAAGGGCTGGGACTTGAACCTCGATGTTCAACATCGGATGCAGGTAACCAAAGTAACATCTTTGAAAAGATTTATTTGGGCCCGGCACGATGGCATAATGGTTAAGGTCCTCGTGCCTTGAATGTGCCGGGATCCCATACGGGCGCCAGCTCTAATCCCGGAATCCCCACTTCCCATCCAGCTCCCTGCTTGTGGCCTAGGAAAGCCGTCGAGGATGGCCCAAAGCCTTGGGACCCTGCACCCGCGTGGGAGACCCGGAAAGAAGCTCCTGGCTTCTGGCTTTGGATCGGTGCAGCACTGACCTTTGTGGCTACTTGGGGAGTGAAACATCGGATAGAAGATCTTCCTCTCTTTCTCTCCTCCTCTCTGTATATCTGACTTTACAATAAAATAAATATATCTTTAAGGAAAAAAAAAAAAAAGATTTATTTGAGAGGCAGAGTTAGAATGAAGGGGACAGAAGTAATATCTTCCACTCACTATTTCCCTCAGCAGATGATCTCAACAGCTAGAGTTGGGTCAGGCTGAACCAGGAGCTTCCTTACGGTCCTCCAAGCGGATGGCAGGGGCCCAGAGTACCTGGGCTTCCTGAGCCCCACCCTCCTCCCCGGGCACATCTGTAAGAACCTGGACCTTGAATCCAGGCCCGGGGGCATGTGACACAGGTGACCCAAGCTGCTTCCTAACTGAAGCGCACCAATGTGTACCCTATGGGTTTTATTTTTAAATAAAGATTTATTTGAAAGGCAAAGTGACACAGACGAGACAGAGATAGAGGGATCTTCCATTTGCCAGCTCACTACCTAAGTGGCTGCAACAGCCACGGCCAAGTGAAGCCAAGGACCCAAGGACTTGAGCCATCTCCTGCTGCTTTCCCAGGGACACGAGCAGGGATTTTGATGGCAAGAGAGCAGCCCAGACTCCCACAATTACTCTGAGATGCCAGCATCACGGCAGTTTTGCCTGCTGTGCTACAACACCGGCCCCATGTTTCGTTTTGATCACAAAGCACCATGACTGTCAACTTTGTGCCAGCTGGAGGGAAGCGTGCGAGGGCCACTAGGGGATGCTGTCAGAGAGGCAGGAGAGTCAGAGGACAGCAATTGTGCAGAACTGTGGTGTGAGTTCCCATGCCCCCGAGACAGGCTCCGTAACGCCCCCGCTGCCAAGCTGTGTGCCCCCTGCACTGTCTACACAACGTTCCACAAGAAGGGGAGTGGCAGCGTGCGGTCTGGAGGGGGAAGGTACTGATCTCACTCAGATTTCTACGAAACTAGTTATTTCCTTCCCCGAGTGCCATGTTCCAGAACCAGTACCTGTGCTCACTGATGGGTTCCAAGTGTCTAATTTTCAAGTGGCTTTCCCGAGTGTGGAGAGGAGTCACGGCTACTTCACTTCACCTTTCTCTAGACTCCCTAGGCCTCCTGGGACCCTAAAAAAAAGACAATTTCCTTTCTTGAGTATTTTTAAAATGTTGTACATTTTTTAAATTTAAAGATTTATTTATTTTTATTGCAAAGTCAGATATACAGAAAGGAGAAGATACAGTGAGAAAGATTTTCCATCCTATGATTCACTCCCCAAGTGAGCACAATGGCTGGAGCTACACTGATCCAAAGCCAGGAGCCAGGAGCTTCTTTCCGGGTCTCCCATGTGGGTGCAGGGTCCCAAGGCTTTGGGCTGTCCTTGACTGCTTTCTCAGGCCACAAGCAGGGAGCTGGATGGGAAGTGGAGTTGCTGGGATTAGAACCATCACCCATGTGGGATCCCAGCGCATTCAAGCAAAGGACTTTAGCTGCTATGTTACCGCGCCGGGCCCTAAAATGTAGTACTTAATTAAATCAAAGGGACTAGCTAAACTGGTACTGCATGTTAAGTTTCTAGCATCTCATATTGGAGAAGCCTACAAGGAGTTTCTGGCTCCTGGCTTCAGTCTGTCCTAGATATTGTGGCCATTTGGGAACAAATCAGAGGATGGAAGTTCTCTTTGATACTCTTCTTTTCAAATAAATAAAAATTAAAGAAAAATAAATCAAACACATAGCCACACCCCTTTCTCTACATGTAAGACCTAACAATCATAGCAGCCCTGGTCCATAACACTCCGGTAAAACATCTGTAATAATAACCACTTAATGACTGCAGGGAGTTCAGAATTGATCATCTGTTTTGTTTGAGAAGACTCTGACAAGGCACCTTACGTAAGGTCACACGGGTAAACCTGTTTATACAGCCAGAGAGTTTGACCGTATTCTTGCATCTGAACCTGTCTTCATTTTCTCCCATAGTATAGATTGTATCTGCTTGCATTTCATTTTGTATGACTCTCTTAGGAGCACACAGATTTTTTTCTTAATATATCTGAACTTTGAGTTAAATCTAAATCCTCTTCAATATAGCATGGGGAGAAAACTGACTTGTGCCAGCTTTGTTTTAGCCATTTTATACAGCAATCCCAAAGCATCAAATTTCCTGTGCTCTGGGAACAATATATAGTGTGAACAAAAGGTTAAGGAGGAAAGGAAATGTAATTGGTTCTGAAGGGCGTGAACAGTGGTAAAGGACACGCTGTCAGGGAGTAGGATCTTGGGGAGGAATGCGGGGGTCCCCAGCTTGTGGTGAGGGGCGCTCCTGCCCACCCTGTCAGAGTACATGGCTCTGGCCAGTCCACTGGGCTGCGCTGGGCTGCGGGCTTGAGGCTCTCTCTGAAGATGCATACAGATATACGTGGTTGAAGACCTCACGGAACTCCATCTGCCCAGTGTGGATGAGCTGGCAGACTTGGAGACATCAGAATATGGGCACACTCTTGCGCAAACTCTCTTTGTCAGATGCGGCGTGCTTATGGCCCAGTCCGTCTTTCTGAGTCTTGAGTTTCTCAGCTTTCACACTTGAGGGCTGGCGGACAGGCTCGTTCTCCGTGCCGTGTAGGATTCTAAGGTCTGCAGGCGACCTTCTCCCGTCTCCGCCTTTCACCGCCAAGGGAAAGAAGGGAAGCTCTAACACAACCGATTTAAGAACATCAACATTTATTTAACATGATAAAAAAGAAATGAGTTATGAACATTTGCATTTAAACAATAGTAAGTAGCCTTTAATACATTACATGTGCTCATTGTATAATATATACACAATGAACATAATTACATTTGTACACCAACTAAGTACTGGGTTTGAAAACCTGCTTATTGCTGTACACATCTATGTCAATGAAGTATATACCCAGTACTTCAAATTACCTATACTTTTTTGTTCTTAAGAAAAGGTAAGTGGGAATGTGTTTGTAAGCTGACGAGAGTGTGGCAGTAACTGGACACTGCAATCTGACTGAGGAAGAATTATAGCAGAGAACTGGACGTTTGCACTTAGCTGTGATAAAATGGCACATCTTAAATATATATATATATAAAATTTGTACAAATCAAGTGTGGAACAAAGCACTGCACTAGCTGAAATGAGAAGGAATTAACAAAAAAGAAAAGAAATGAAAAGAAGTCTCGTTGGAAATAATTAAGTAACTATGTGTGTTGAAAAGCCAGAGGAAGTGTGACTTCACCTAGACTGAAGGAACATCGAAACCTGGAAGTGACTGACTGAGCTCGGGCTGTGGACCGCGCATGGAGAAGCACCTTCACGGATGTGCCGGGGAACGTAGCAGCAAGCTGGTGTCTCAGTAATAACCTGGAGACCGATTACGGAGTGTACATATGGGCCGTTAAAGCTGTTTGGAATAAACATTTTCCAGAAGTGATAAAATGATGCTCTGTGGCCAAAAGCATCAGAACTATGAATTTCATAGATTTAAAATATTCTGTACAGCATCTTCTTACGTTGCTGAAGGTCCATGTTGGCAGCTCGTCATGGCCTCACGGCTTCAGCAGGAGTCCGGTGTAGCTGCAAAGCAAGAGAGGAAATCACTTTGACACCTGCAAAGTCAATGAATGACCACTTCCCGAAGGGAGTAACAGAGATGTGACAATGGGACTGACAGGCACAGCCAAGCAAGTCCTCAAGGACAGGACAAACAAAGGACTGCCCCTCCCTCCGTTTCCAAAGCCAAGACAAGTACTGCACTTAAAAAGCAAATGAGAATCAGAAAAAAATAGTACACAAGTTTGGGGCTGAGGTCAAAGATCAACAGAAAGGAGCAGGATCTTTTCACGTGCCTGAGACATGCCCACACGGCCCATGTCATCTGTAAAGCTCTCTCAAGTTGTGCCAACCTGTCTAACTCAGATGACATTCGCATGCACACAGTCTGCCTGCCACCAGTTGGCTGTGGTGACGGCGAGCCACGAGACTGGAAAATCTCCCGGACCTCTTTATGGCATGTGACACCACTGGTCCTTGGAGTAAGAATAGAATTTAGTGAGTTCGGGACCTGGAAATGTGCTTGAGCATCCTGTATTATCGCAGGGTCTGTGAAAATGAATTATAACCTGCTGATTGAACCAAAAAATAATAAAAATAGCTCTTGCTGTACATTCTACTATTAAGACAGTCAGAGGCCATCTACCACGTCTTTGCAAGGGAGAAATCAAATAAGCCTCATGTTTATTCTTCCCACATCTGGGGTCATTGCATCACCAGTAGCAACTGTCACCTCCAAGCGTGCTGAGTTAAGAATTTAAACACGTGAGTGACAGAGGGATGACACCGGTAAAGACCATAACAGATTGGATGTAACTCCAGCAAGCACTTCAGTCCTGTACATACTAAGTGACAAGCAACAGAAGCCCACTCTGAGGCTCCTGGTGGGTATAACTGCAAATAAAAGATATTTTCCTTTTTATAAAAAATTCAAACACCGTCAACATTTCTGGCTGAGAAGACACAGATCATAGTTGCGACAGAAGCATGTGACTTGGGTATGGTGTTGTAGCACAGTGGTTAAACCACCATTTGCAATGCCAGCAAGCCACACTGGTGTACTGGTTCAGGTCCTGGCTGCCTTCGCTGCCCATCCAGGGTGGCCCTAGGACTTCAGAGCCTGTCCCCCATCTAAGAGACTGAATGGAGTTCTGGGCCTGATCCAGCCCTGTTCTCGGTGACTAGCTGAACCAGTACGCTCCCTGCCTGCCTTTCCCTTTCTCTGTCGCTCTGCCTTCCACTTAAAAACAAAACAAAAACGTGAGTGGCCGTAGATTCTAGAACACAGGAAGTACTGCACGGACTTCATTGAGCTGGGAATTTGCACTCATTTCTTTTGAGGCTCTGAGCCAGTGATGCCAGCAGTAGTGCTCAGGATGTTTGGGCTTCTATGGTTGACTGATTACTGAGTAGGATTTGTGTTAAACTTACTGCATCAAACATCAATGACAGTGAGAAACCACAGAAAAGGCAGAACTTTCTATTTAATACCTCTGTTTTTCTGAAAAGTAAATAAAAAGTGTTTATAGGTATAAAATTACTGATAAAAAATTAGCAACTGTCTATTGGGGGTAAAGTTTTATTTATTTTTATTTGAAAGGCAGACTTACAGAGAGCAGAGAGCCAGGCAGATCACCTAGCTGGGCGACCTGGATGGGAGTCTAGGCTCCTGGCCTTGGCTTGGTCCAGCCTTGGGCCACTGTGGCCAGTGACAGAAAAAAAAAAAAATGTTACAGAAAGAGAAACGGAGAAACAGAGATCTTCCATCTGCGATTTCACTCCTGTAACGGCCAGAGCCGAGCTGGTATGAAGCCAAGGGCCAGGAGCCAAGAGCTTCCTCCTGGTCTCCTCTGGGGGTCCGGGGATCCAGGGCTCCCAGGGTTGGGTTGGAAGTAGAGCGGCCAGAACTCAAACTGGTGCCCATAGGGGATGCTGGCCCTGCTGGTGGAGGCTTTACCGGTCACAGTGCTAGCCTCAAATAACTAAATCCTGAAAACTGCCCAGGAAGCACTCTCCTCTTTACCCCCGGCCCTATCCATGAAATTTTCACAGGGACCTCCCTAACTGAAAAAAAAAAAAATTCAATTATGTAGACTTAATGTCAACGGCTACACTTCTTCTCTGTCCTTTAAAGTAATGAGCAAATTCCCAATGAGGCAGGCAAGTCACACTAATTGTTGAAAACCTTACATAATCGGCTTGTAATGAATTCAACGGTTGTCTCAGATCCTGACTACAGAAACAAACATTTAGTGGGAACCCGGCTGCCACACTGTCTGAACTGGCCCAGGCCATCCCTCCCAAGTCTCCTGCTTTTCCGGATGCTGAAATAAGAAACAGAAAGCTGCTCTCACTGACTCACTGTGGCTCACGGCATGCAGAGCTTGCTCCACCAGCCATTCTTGGTGCTTAGTCCATAATCACTCCCCCTTCTGATTGACTCACCCAACAAGTGAACACAACTCAAAAAGCATCTAACAGGAAAGCATGGAGGCAGAGCTGCGAAGAGACGTACTTGGGAGACTACACACACATGAAATGCGATCCTTCCGGGAGCTGCGGCTGAGCAGAGGGCACGGGAGACGCCGAGGACCCGGGAGACAGGGAGGGGCTTTTGGCTGAAACACACCAAGGGAAGGTGGGAAGAGAAACGTCTTTGAGGTGCATCTGCAGAAGTGAAGCCCCACGCACTGCTCCTGCAGTCCGCATTCCTTCTGGCAGCGCGTGGGCTGTGCTGTGACTTGCTAACCTGGCAGGTGCAGGAGGAAATGTCTCCAAAGGCTTAGTGAAGTAGTACAGAGGCCGGCAGAACTAGAAGACTGTGGCTTTAACACTGCCACACCCCCTGGGCTCAGACCGCTGAGCGAGAACGTCTGCGTACAGTGCCACATGAGCGGCAGAGATGAGGGAGAGGATTGCGCTTTGCCTCTGCACGAAGCAGCGTGATGGACAGACCCGGGCGCTCCCACACACGGCAGAGGCTCTGCAGGATCCCGCGGTGGCTGCCTGCCCTGCAGCTCATCACCAGAGATGCCTGCATCCCATTTCAGAGCCCAGGGGGTTGAGCCCTGGCTCTGCTCTTGTCCGGCTTCCCACGATCATGCACCCTGGGAGGCATCGGATGGTGGCCTAAGCAACTGGGTCCCTGTAATGGCTGAATTTTGAGTCCTGGCCTCAGCCTGGGCCAGCTCTGGCCATTGGGAGCATCTGCAGAGTAAACCAGCAGATGGAAGAGCTGTCTCTCTTCCCTTTCAAATAAAAATACATAAATAAGTAAAAACTTACGAATCAAATCATGAAGAAAATCAAAGATCTGTTAAGATCCCCCCCAAACCCAACAGTACTACATATATATGTATTCATTTATTTATGTGAAAGAGAAACAAAGAAAGACAGAGTTCATTCATTTGTATCTGCTGGCTCACTTTCAAATAAATGCCTACACGCTGGCCAGGGGCTAGTGCCTGGCGCTCACCCTGGGGCTCCCGAGGGGTGGGGGGACCATGACTTTCAGCCTTCACCTGCCGCTCCCTGGGTGCGCGTCAGCAGGAGGCTGGAAAACAGTGGTGCTGGCAATTAGGCGGAGGCACTGAAATGGTGGGTGCTGCTCCAAGAGGTGTCTTAACTGCCGTGCCAAATGCCTACCCCAACAGCTTGTTTTATCATGTTGTTTTAAACATGTTAAGGAAGAACAACTTTCTACTGTCCAAAAAAAAAGAGCCCAGTTGTGGATTATGGATTTAGATGATTAAAATCTCCACAGTTCTCAAAGCAGCAAGTTTATGAATACTCTGTGTGAACAGGTAAGTCTCCCAAGCACTGAAGCAGCTAACAAAGGAAGTTTACAGACTTTTTTTTCAAAACCAAAGCCAATGGGACTTGGAGGTGGGGAGTGGTGGGACCCGCCTGTGGGGGCAAGCAGAGCCGACAGAACATCTACCTGCCAGGGCCGGACTTCCTCTCGGAACCTCAGGAGTTGGCTCGCGGGGAGGCGCCACGTCCTCCGCTTCGTCAGGACTCTTCTTGAAACTTCCTTCAGGATGGCCTTCTGGTTTATGGTTTGTTATTGGTGTCTCATCTTGAGAGCTAGTAAAAACAGATCAGCATTTCATAATTTATCTTTTTTTTTTTGCTCTAAAAATTTTTTAATATACAGAAAAATGCCACCACCTGTATTTAACAACTGCAAGCACTGTGTTTGTAATTAGCCTCCTTTTCCCTTTTATGGAAATGCAAATGTAAAATTATTATTATTACTTCACAAGCAGGGAGCTGGATGGGAAGTGGAGCAGCCAGGACACGAAGCAGCACCCATATGGAATCTTGGTGAACGCAAGGCGAGGATATAGCCACTAGGTTACTGCATCAGGCCCACAAATGTAACGTTAGAGCAAATACTATGTGAAGCACATACACACATTTTCAATAGTTACCCTTGTCTGGCCAATCTGCTACAACTCCTATTCCCAAACTACTGTAAAACATATCCTAGGGGGCGGCTCCACACCATAGCAGGTAAAGTTGTTGCCTGGAGTGCCAGCCTCCCATGTGAGTGCTGCTCCAGGCTGCTTCAGTTCCGATCCAGCTCTCTGCTGGTGCAGAGCATGGCCCAACTGCTTGAGCCCCTATACCCGAGGATGAAGCTCTTGGCTGCTGGCTTTGGTCTGGTCCAGCTCTGGCCGTTGTGGCCATCTGGGAGGTGAACCAGTGAAGAGAGAATCTCTCCGTGTGTCTCTTTCTCTGTAGCATTGCCTTTCAAATAAATTAATCTTAGAAAAAGAAAAGAAAAGAAACGAAAATAAAAAGATTCTAGACCTAAAATTTATCTGTAAATACTCCAGTATATGTGTATTAGCATTTCAGTTCAATCACGTATCCAGCTTAGAGCTCAGATTTTCTGATGGGTCAGGTGCTGGGTTGGGTGGTGAGGACCTTTGTCCCACACTGGAGCACGTGGGTTTGACGGCTGCCTCTGCTCCTGACTCTAGCTGCCTGCTAACCCAGTTCCTGGGGGCACTGGTTGGTGTTTAGAATTTTACTAAGTGCAAAGCACAGCATTAAGTGCAATACTTGGATTTTCTAATCTGATCCTAACCACACTTTCACAAAATCAACTATCAACTATGTTATTCCTGATTTTCTTCTTCTTCTTTTTTTAATGTTTATTTTATTTGAGAGAGTTACAGTGAAAGTGGGAAGACAGGGCGAGAGCAGCGAAAAGCGGGAGAGGGAAAAAGATAGCAATTTTTCTATGTGCTGGTTCATGCCCTGACCGGCCTACATGGCTAAGGCTCGGCCAGGCTGAAGTTAGGAGCAGGTGGCTTCACCGGCTCTCTCACACGGGCACGGGGGCCCACCCTCCATTGCCTTTCTAGGCACATTAGCCGGGAGCTGTATCGGAAACAGAGCCAACTCAACCTGGTGAGCCTACAGGGGATGCTGGCGTTTCAGGCGCCGGTTTAACTGCTACGCCACAGCGCTGGCTTGCTTCGGGTTTTTACGGCTGAGCGAGGGTAGGAATTAGCCTGGGGAGGCCAAACCCGTGGGTCTTGAGCATGGCCATGCTGCCCTAGGGAGCCGAGCTGTAACCAGAATGCAGCAACTTCTCACTGTGTAGGTCGCCATTTTGAAGCAGTCACACAGCTCTCCGAACTGTTACCTGGAGGGAACATCATCAGCTGTTTCTTTTTCGTCTTTTTCTTTATCCACCACTTCCTCGGCATCTACTCCATTTGGCTCAGGTTTGAAAAGCATCTCGTAGAAAACAGTTTCAGTTTTTTTAAGCTACAGGGTAAGAAGAAAAACAATTTTTTTTGAACAAAATTCTTTTCAAAGCACTCTAATCACATTAAATGTTTCTTAGTAAACATAAAATTCTTAAATAAAATTTTATTTAAAAATTATATCCTGTCAAATATTTACCGATGCAAAATTTTTAAAAAAGCAAAAATATACATGATATCCTTTTAATGTTTATTAATATTACTAATTGTAACATTCATATTAACATTCTTCCCTACTAGAAAGTAATAAAAGTTATCTGTCCTGAGATGTTGAACAGTGTGAAAGCCCAATTGCTGGGTAACAATAATCTTTAATGTAGTTCATAATTTCTTCCAATCTGAATTAATCATGTCTTTTCATTTCCAGCGAATATGTACCTTTATACAGCTGAACACATCACTTTAATTAAAGGAAACCTATCATTTCACTTGGACCTAGGCCTTTGTAATTGAAAGACATGACTTATTTTCAACCTTATCACCTGATCTGATCTTCGGAAATCCACGTCTTTGGAATATCTGTTCAAACAATATACCTCCTTGCTGAGACCTGTGTCTTGGGGTTCAGCTTCTTTGAGCTGAACAGTTTCCGCCATGGGGGTTTCATGGTTTGGCTTCTCATCACTGTCCCCACTGATCGTGTCCAGGTCCTTCATGTTATCATCTCTCTTTCGAGTCTGCGCAAAAGACAGAGCCTTTCAGGGTCACGCTCTGTGGGTAGTGCCAGGTAATTCCAAAATTAAACCTGAACTTCCATTCAAGGGAAGTTTTCTTACAAAATCACATATTTACGCAGAAAAAGATTTTGTATCTAAGTGTGTGTAATCGCTTACGTCACAACTAAACACGGCAGTAATCCACACACTGCTCTTCCAGGCTAGTCTGGGTCATGCTAAATCTGGACACAGAGTAATTTTACTGGGAGGGTAATTGAGGACCGTCGTGGCAACCCGCATGACATCTCATGTTGACTTCAACAGAGTAAGTGTGCAACTGGTGCAAAGGTGGCCTACAAGAGCCTCAGCTCTGCTCTCTTGAGACCAGAGTTAATTCCATCTTATGAAATTCTCTTAGCTTACTGTAACATACTATTCACAATGTATGCCTTTGCAACCCCGGCTGGAGGCACCTGCCTAGGTTGCACTGTACCTAGGCAAGCGTCACACTGCTGGGAGAAAAGCAGCCAATAACTGGCTGGCATTCTGGGTCTGGTTAATGCCAAATACGTGGTACCTATACTAGAGTGCCAACACAGCTGCCTTTTATAAAATAAGATATGTGGGGGGCAGACATGGGCACACCAGCAAACGGGGTCTGGATCTGTGCTCTGGCCATGGAGTGCATGTGTCAGTTACTGAAGCCTGTGCAGTAGACAGCATACCCAGATGAACATGGGCAGCATGACAACCAGCTCACTGAGGCCTGTAAAAGACATCTAGCATCATGGGCACAGAACAAACTGGACAGCTGTCCTGGCTAAGCCTTGACAGCAAGTATTTGAGTGAATTGAGACTCTAAAGGTTGACTGTCAACCAATGGACCTTACAAGGATTTCCTTCTCCTTGGAGCAGTATCTCAGAACTATGAAAACCACTGTAGTGTCCTCAGAATATGCTCCACATTGGGGACCCGAGGATGATATCGGGTGGCTGTCCCCCATCCCAGGGCAGTGATGTGGTTGAGCTGCTGGCAGCAGCTTTTCCCCCGTTATCCCCAGCTACGGAAACAAAAGGAGTTGGGAACAGTTGTGTCACCCACTTTCCTCCATTCCTCGACCTCCCCTCCGTAAACAGTGGTCCTCATGGGCATGCACCCTTAACTATATAAACATCATGAATAAGAAATTTTTTATACAAGTTATAAATATGCTTTTTTCAAAAAAGAAAAGAATCCGAAGCAGCTGATGTACCTGCGTAACCCTGAAGGGATTGTCCCTTAAGCTGGAAGGGCTTGGCAAGGGTGACTGATCAGAAGCACCGAGGACACCGAATCCCTTCTTCTTCTCCCGCAGGCAGGCTTGCTGATGTCTCCTTATTCTTTCCATTTGCTCCTCCACCGTCATCCGGGGTCGAGTACTTTCAGCTAAACAGAGCTGCTCCACTGCACTTCTTGGTCGTTCCTGGAAATGAAAAATAAACACATCATTTTATAAATATAGAATAACTGCTGAGAAGCATGAGGGAATAAAAGAAGGCCTAGAGTGCGGTCAGTTAATCTTGTTTTCAAGAGAGAAGTGAAGGTTTTAAATTTAGATGATATCAGAAATGCAAGAGACACTGCTTTATCCTTCACTGGTAACTGGAGATACAAGGCCAGGGGCAGAGCAGGAGAGGAGCAGGTGAGAAGCAACCGACAAGAGACAGGAGGAACAAAGAGAGGGCATTTTCTTGGTTAAGATCCAAGAAAATGTAAAAAGGAATGGGAGCTTTGACGTAGACCTAACAGGAACCTGTTGCTCCCCCGGTCTTAACGTTTTATGTGGGCCCGAACTTTCACAGCTTTCAAGCCTCATGATACACAATGCCGGCTGGCATGTGGCATAGTATGTTAAGCTACTCTTTATAGTGCTTTAAAATCTGTTAGACATCGCTTAAAAAATGGACCCAGCATGGTAGCCTAGTGGCTGAGGTCCTCGCCTTGCACGTGCCAGGATCCCATATGGGTGCCGGTTCTTATCCTACCTGCTCCACTTCCCATCCAGCTCTCTGCTTGTGGTCTGGGAAAGCAGCTGAGGATGGCCCAAAGCCTGAGGACCCTGCACCCACATGGGAGACCTGGAGGAGGTTCCTGGCTCCTAGCTTCAGACTGGCTTAGTGCTGGCCATTGTGGCCAAGTAGGAAGTGATCTTTCTCTCTGTCTCCCTTTCTCTCTGACTTTCCAATACAAATAAATAAACAAATAAATAAACCTTAAAAAATATTTCAAACAAAATAAGTAAAGCATTTATAAGGACTAAAGAAAAAGTTCTCTTGTAGTCTAAATTCCCAAAACAAACTTAAGAAGACAATAAAGAACTCCAGCATCTTTCCAAGAGGAAAACGGGACTGGTTTAGAGTCAGTTTGAATTAAAAGGATCTCAGAAGAAGAAGCGAAAAACAGGATTTATTCCCCAGCTGCATTCCATGTTCCTCACTGTTACCGGACCATGGCGAACTCCTCGGCTATCACAGCAGAGGCGCTGCCACCCCAGGCTGGCCGGAAAGGCACCGCGGAGCACCTGTCCGGCTCCTCACGGAAATCCTTAGGATGTGTGCAGGGAGGTGATCAGAGAACATCTCCCAGGGAACGCACCCTGCGAGCCCAGGCCAAAGCCGGTGCTGGGCGGCCCGTGATGCAGCACGCCATGTCGGTGCCAGTCAGTGTCCGGGCTGCTCCACTTGCCATCCAGCTCCCTGCTAATGGCTTAGGAAAAGCAGTGGAGGATGGCCCACGTGTTTGGGCACAGGCTCAACCATGTGGGATACCTGGCTGAAGTTCCCAGTTCCTCACTTCAGCCTGGCCCAGCCTTGCGGAGTAGCCAGAGGATGGAAGATGTCTCTATCTCTTCCTCTCCTATTACAGCACTTTCAAATACATAAACAAATATTTAAGAGAGAAAGAGAGAAACCTAAACCAGGTATGGATTAGGCTTGTCGTCTGAGGGGCTAAGCCTCTTCCCTGTAATGAAACACAAAAATAAGATCACTATTGTGTTAGAGTATGTAAAAAGAATTCTGATCGACATTAAAAAGAGAAAGATACAGAAAGCAATTGCTACGCTGAAAGCCCTTCTGGAAGTCATTTTGTAGTTAAGTACCGTTCTCAGATCCATCATTTTCTTCGTTTTCCTCAGGGTTACGTAGGAAGCTATCGTGGAAGATTCGGGTGTTGGTGATTTTGTCCTTGGAGGGACCACCCCGACAGGAAAGTGTGAACCTGAAAACAGAAAGAGCAGTCCAAGTGTCCTTCACACACACTGACGTTCCTGGGCGTGCTGGTCATCTGAAGTGAGACCGTCAGTAACACTGCCGGCTACCTGGGGTCAGGTTAAGACACAAGCTACACTTAAGAATCTCATCCAGAAACATTGCTCCTTTGTCCTGGTCCTTCCCAACCATAATCCTAACTCATTAGTCTAACCCATCACAGACTATCAGTGACCAGGGTTTTGGCCAAAAGAATTAAGTAACACCACCTGAATGTCTTTATATCTCTTCTTTTTCATCATTTTCCTCCCTTTTTAATCTAAAGATGTATTTTATTCATTTGAAAAGAAGACTCAATCAAGTGTCCACGAATAAGGTTAACAACTGGTAACCATTTTTACTTTCTCTTTTTATATCTTTCAAAACTCCTACATTGAACAAATGCTGATTTTATAATTAGAAGAAAACGACAGGGGTCTGGCATAGTAGCCTAGGGGCTAAAGTCCTTCCCTTGCCTATGAACACAGGTTCATGTGCCAGCTGCTCCGCTAACATTTCAGCTTCCTGCTTGTGGCCTGGGAGAGCAGTACAGGACGGCCCAAAGCCTTGGGACCCTGCACCCACATGGGAGACCCGGAAGAAGCTCCTGGATCCTGGCTTCAGACTGGTGCAGCACCAGCTGTTGCGGTCACTTGGGGAGTGAATCATTGGACGGAAGATCTTCCTCTCTGTCTCTCCTCCTCTCTGTATATCTCTGAGTTTGCAATAAAAATAAAATAAATCCTTAAAATAAAAAATATTAGCATTGTCCTGTAGAAGTAAAAAGCAAATTATTAAGATGCTCAGTTGATTTTCTTAAAAAAAAAAAAAGAGAAAAAAAGCATCACTCTCTTTGGGCTCTGTAAGGTCTAAAGAAAAAAACCTCTTCAGGTTAGTGCTATTTCTATTTGAAAATCCTACTGGGCCCGGCGTGGTGGCGCAGTGGTTAAGGTCCTCGCCTTGCATGCCCGGGATCCCATATGGGCGCCGGTTCTATCCCGGCAGCCCCACTTCCCATCCAGCTCCCTGCCTGTGGCCTGGGAAAGCAGTCGAGGACGGCCCAAAGCTTTGGGAACCTGCACCCGCGTGGGAGACCCGGAAGAGGCTCCTGGCCGTTGCGCTCACTTGGGGAGTGAATCATCGGACGGAAGATCTTCCTCTCTGTCTCTCCTCTCTGTATATCCGCCTTTCCAATAAAAAAATAATAAAAATAAATCTTTCAAAAAAAACAAACAAACAAAAAAGAAAATCCTACTTTAAATTGTGTCACACAAAAATAAATGACATCAGAACTGAGGCAAGGACTTCAGACAACGTACCCAGAAGAGAGCCTAGGCCACGGGAAAAGCGTGCAACTGAAACAAAGAGGCAAAACTTGCAGGAAGAATTCAGAAAACACTAGCGAATGTATTTTAAATGATATTTTAATAGTAAACATATGCACTGGTGGAACAAATAAGGGCTCATCCATTTTTCATGGTAATTAAATTCCTGTTGATGAATGAGTCATTTATAGAATCACATATTAAATCGTTGCTAAGTACTGTGCACCTGAACAATGCCGTGTGTTCTACCGACAGGAACCAGCGTAAAGGACACAGTTAACCCCAGCTGTCAGCACCTGCCCGGGTTGTCTTGGACCTAGGCAAGTGTCAACATGTTGGGAGAAAAGTACCCAATGGCTAGTGGGCATTCTGGGCATGGTTAATGCTAAATTTGTCTTAACTATACAAGTATGCCAGCAGAGTTGCTAAAATAAATAAATAAATAAACAAACAAATAACAGCAATTGTAAAATCAATGAACAGAGCAGAAACCTATCTCCCACATGCTTCAAAAACTTCTTAAAGGGTCCGGCACCGCAGCTTAGTGGCAAGGGTCTTCATGCCAGGATCCCCTATGGGCGCCGGTTCTACTCCCGTCGGCTCCACTTTCCATCCAGCTCCCTGCTGGTGGCCTGGGAAAGCAGTCGAGGATGGCCCAAAGCCTTGGGACCCTGCACCCGTGTGGGAGACCTGGAAGAGCTCCTGGCTCCTGGCTCCGGATTGGCTCAGTTCCAGCCATTGCATTCACTTGGGGAGTGAATCAATGAAGGGAAGATCTTCCTGTCTCTCCTCTCTGTATGTCCGCCTTTCCAATAGAAAAAAATAAATCTTTAAAAAAATTTTTTTGACCCTGAGTTTCCCTTACATTTCTGGGTAGGAAATTCTACCCCATTCCAGAAAGCTCCTGTCCCCACTGTGTTACGCCTGCACGTTTAACTGCATAAGCAACTGCCGAACTGCCCCATTTCATACTGCCACCAGGAATGTGTGCGTTTCAATGAGTCCACACCCTTAGCAGCACTGCCTAGCACCTGAGTGTAACCATTCCTCAGGTGCCAGCTGCGGTTTCAATCCACATTCAATGTACATGTGATTTATGGTCAGTCGGTTCTAAACTTTTTCATATGCTTACTGGCAGTTTATCTTACTTGTGTCATGTCTTAAGTATTTCTTTTCCTGAAGATTTACCTACTTGAAAGGCAGAATGATGGAGAGGGAGCAGTATCCAAATCTTTTGCTCATTTTCTGTGAGTTCATTTATGAACTATTACATATTCTGACATCAACGCCCCTCTCCCCGCCAATGTACTCTTCCCCATTTTGTTGGGCAATGATTCCTTTTTTCAATAAACTCCACCCAATCCGTTCGTGCTGACTGAACCCCCCGAGGCTCCTGTCTGAAGTCTTCTCTGACACTCCTAGCTGGTTCAGGCCCTGGGCTTTGTCTTGCCGCAGGTGAAGCCTGGCGTTAGGGCTTCACTTCGCTCGTCTGTACCCCCCTCAGAATCCATTACTCTCCAAGTATCCCTTTCTTGACTTTTTCCATCTTGTTGAACGCAAGCTGGCACCTGGCATTGTGGTTGACTGTCTCAGAGTTCCTGGTCCTGCCTGGCTCCCGTGCTTTTAATTCAACTTCTAACTCATGTGCCCCCTGGGCTGCAGCACATGACACCCCGGTACTTGGGGGAGATCTGGACTGAGTTTGGGGGTCCTGGCTTTAGTCACTGGAGTGGTGGGGTAGGGAGTGAACCAGAGCACCTTCTGTTTCTCTGCCTTTCAACTACAATGAAAACAAGTGGCATTATTCAATATTTATAATCACCGTCTTTTCTGCAGTTCAACATATATAAGAGAATTAGTTTCTTGTACTTCATACATATAGCTTTAAGATATGGCATTTCCTACTCGACTCTCCCTCACTGCCATCCATCCTCCTCCTTTTCTTTTAATTTCTACAATGACATGCTTTCAATTTATAATCACAAACTTAATCATCTACTAAACAGAGGATTCAACAAGTAGTATGTAGAAAAAGCACTGTTCTTCAGGAGTACAGACAAGAACTGTAAACAATAATCAAATCTTAAAAAAAGCTCAATTTCATTCCAATACATTTTTTTGTACCCTGTATACTAGTTACCACAAGTCAGAGAAAATACATGATATTCGTCTTTGGAGGACTGGCATATTTCACTAAGCATAATGGCTTCAAATTGCATCCATTTTGTTGTGAAAGACAGGGCTTCATTCTTTGCAATCACTTTCAGGAGGAGGACTGACCAAGCTATGCAGGTAATCATACCACCAAAAAATACATATTTTGTAGTCAAATCTCCTATACATATTTAAAATAATACACTGATGTGATCTTCACAGAGCCTATTTCTGTTTAACTTACATCTTTGTAGGAAAGGTAAGCTGACTTTAAATGGTAAGATGTGTTCAAATTGAGTTTGCAAGTTGGCAGGATTTTTTAATGGAAAAAGAAAAAAGAGGCAACCTTCATATTCTTAAATTAAAAAAAAAAATGGGGGGCCCGGCACGGTGGCGCAGTGGTTAAGGTCCTCGCCTTGCACACCCGGGATCCCATATGGGCGCCGGTTCTATCCCGGCAGCCCTGCTTCCCTTCCAGCTCCCTGCCTGTGGCCCGGGAAAGCAGTCGAGGACGGCCCAAAGCTTTGGGACCCTGCACCCACGTGGGAGACCCGGAAGAGGCTCCTGGCTTCGGATCGGCATAGTATCGGCGCTTGCGCTCACTTGGGGAGTGAATCATCGGACGGAAGATCTTCCTCTCTGTCTCTCCTCTCTGTATATCCGCCTTTCCAATAAAAATAATAAAAATAAATCTTTAAAAAGAAAATGGGTATTAGATGACCCAGTAACATTCCAGTTATGGAAAAAGGCAAACATTAGTCTTGTGAGTTTTCCAAACTTTTACTTTATGATTCCCTCAGTGGTCATGGCCAGTGCTGCACAGTCCCTACCTAATGTAACACTAACTAGTGTTGAGTTGCTGCTTGCAAGCCATACAGGAATGTTGGTTCCATTCTTAGTTTCTCTTCTTAAAAAAAAAAAAGAGAGAGAAAGAAGGAAAGAAAGAAAGAAAGAAAGAAAGAAAGAAAGAAAGAAAGAAAGAAAGAAAGAAAGAAAGAAAGAAAGAAAGAAAGAAAGAAAGGAGGGAGGGAGGGAGGAAGGAAGGAAGGAAGGAAGAAAGGAAGAAAGGAAGAGATTGATTTAAAGAGAGAATGAGAGAGAGAGAGAGAGACAGAGACAGAGATCTTTCATATGCTGGTTTACTCCCCAAATAGCTGCAAAGGCCAGAGCTGAACTGGTCTGAAACTGGGATCCAGAAGCTTCCTCTAGGTCTCCCATTTGGGTGTAGGTGTCCAAAGCCTTGGTCCATCTTCTGCTGTTTTCCCAGGCAAACAGCAGTGACAATTAAAAGTGGAGTAGCCTGGACTAGAGCAAGCACCCAGCCCATAAGGTATGCCAGTGCTGAGCTTACCTCGCCACTGCAGCGGCCCAGTTTCTACAACACTTTTCTGCTAATTTGTCAAGGCAATTGCTTGGGCCCCTACCACCCACATGGGAGACCCAGATAAAATTTTTCTGGGTCCTGGCTTTGGCATGGTCCAGTAGGTAGAAAATTTTTCTCTCTCTTCTAAGCTGGAGTGCTCTCTTTTTTATTTTTCTTTTTAAAAATGTATATGTATGTATGCATGTATGTTATTGGAAAGGCAGATCTGCATAGAGAAGCAGAGGCAGAGAGATTTTCCACCTGCTGGTTCCCGCTCCTAATGGCCACAACAACCAGAAATGAGCCAACCTCAAGTCAGGATGCTCTGGGGGGTCTCCCATGCAGGTGCAGGGTCCCAGGGCTATGGGCCATCCTGGACTTCTTTCCTAGGCCACAGGCAGGGAACTGGATGGGAAATGGAGCAGCCAAGACATGAACTGGCATCCATAAAGGATACAGGTGCTTATAGGCAGAGGATTAGCCTATTGAGCTTCAATGCTCTGCCTTTCATTTAACTTGTGTGTGTGTGTGAGACTTAGGCATAACTAAGTCTTGAAAGAAAATCAGTTCACTGGTTATGATCAACAATCGTGTTTTTACCAAAGTTTTAACATTTGGTGTTTTTGTTTTAGCCATAAAAGTAAATACATTACACACGCACACTTTTGATGAACCATTTCTAAATCACAGACACCTTTCTTCTATTTCAGAATTCACAACATTTTGAAACAATGGCATCATGATCACGTTATCATCTATTATCTAGAACATGTTTGAATTTCCCTAACAGTTCAAGAATTGCTTCAGAGCATTTTCTTTTAGTCCAAAGTCCCATAAAGTTTCAAACACTGCGCTATATCTGGTATTTTCTATTTTTTTTTTTTTTTTGAATCTACAACAGTCTCTTCCCCTACCTCTTTTCTTTACAAAAATGACCTCTGAGAGGAGAGCAGCATTAACCAAGCAAACAAAAGAAGCACAGAGTGCAACATCAAGAGAAACCATTACTTCAAAGTTTATTTTATAGAAAGTGTAAGAAAGTTTGTTTTAGCTGCTTATGCAGAATTGTGAAACAGGGAAAAAAAGAATCCTTCATAAATGGAAAGCTGAAAAAAATCTGGCATACACTTATTTCTCAGTTAAGTCTATTTTAGTCTTTATTTATCCCAGTTTGGATGACTATTCGAGAAGTGTTAGTGTGTTTAAAAAAGGGGGTGCTGGGCCTGGCGCTGTGGCCTAGTGGTTAAAGTCCTTGCCTTGAATGCGCTGGTTCTAATCGCAGTGCCCCGCTTCCCATCCAGCTCCCTGCTTGTGGCCTGGAAAAGCAGTTGAGGTTGGCCCAAAGCCTTGGGACTCTGTACCCGTGTGGGAGACCTGGAAGAGCTCCTGGCTCCTGGCTTTGGATCGGCACAGCACCATCCGTGGTGGTCACTTGGGGAGTCAATCATCGGACGGAAAATCTTCCTCTCTGTCTCTCCTCCTTTCTCTATATATCTGACTTTGCAATAAAAATAAATAAATCTTAAAAAAAAAGGGGGGGGGGTATGCTGCCCCTTGCCTTACTGAGCAAACATATATGGTTTCTAGGCCATGTTGTTTGGCAAATATCTAAAAGGTCTTATTTCAGAAGCGCATCATCAAGGCTTGCAGACAAAAGAACTGTGACCTTGAGTAGGTACTAAGTCGACACAGTAGTGGTGCTCATTGCTAAGAATGTTTGGGAGAAGACAAAACGAACAAACAGCCAAGCGGGAGAAACATGCGTGCAGCTGACCTTTCCCAACTGGAGTCTCCGTCTCCGCCACGGGCTCTGACTTCTCCTCTCCATTAGACTCATCAACTTCTGCCACTGTGGTTAGCTCTGGCTCACTCTTGTAGAGTCTATAGTCTGGACCCTTGAAAGGAAGATGGGCGATTTCAAAACAAAAGCCAAACCAATAACCTAGACGTTTAGCCTAGAATGTCTACCTCAAAATCAATTCCCCCGCCCCCGCCCATTTAAAAGCCCTTGGCAGCTCTCTTGGATATTGCATAATTAATTCACCTGTGACAACTAAACAGTAAAAAAAAAACAACTTGAAAGATTTGTAGTTGGTAAACTTTCTGTTTAAAAAACCTCACTTCTTGTATGTTTTCCTGGAATGAATGTTCATTTCTCAGCCATTTTACCTATCCCAGGGACAACTCTCTCTATCCTCCTTTTGCTCTAATCTTCTGATGTAACAATTTCATCTCTAATATCCAGAGTCAGCATATTTAAATTCAGACTGCTTCAACATGCGCAAAGTAACCACTTTTTATGAAGAAATCAAAGAATACGAAAAATTATAAAAAATTTAAAAATGGCAATGGTGGAATAGAAAAAAATGGAAAAGGTTGAAATAAAGGGAAAAAAAAAACACTGGTAAAAATGGAGCAACAACTTAAAAAATGTTTGAATGTAAAATAATGACATTTTCAAAAATGAGGGCGTGGACACGACTGAGCATCCTGTGGCTATTGCAGCCACTTACACAGTGAGATCCATTTCTTGGATATCCTTGACCTTGATGACTCTTCCTGTCTTCAGGCAGATGCACTGGGCCCCTGCTATAACAGAGCAAGGAGCTGCTGTCACTGGGCAGAGGGGGGATTATGGGAGGCTGCTCTGTAATGTCATAGGACCGAGGAAGTGGAGGACGAGGTGGGACTACTTCCTCTTCCTAAAGATTGTAGAACAGTCACCTTATTTAGATAAGCAGATTGGATTAAGCATATCGAACATCTTTGCAATGGCATATTAACAAACGTACTCTAAGGTGCTCAAAGGGATACTGTCAAGAGAAGTCTCCTTCCGAGGCGAGCCAATGACTAGGTTTTTTTCAAAACAGAACTGTAGCTAGTTTTCACCCTGAAGCTCAACACTGAAACAGGTTAATGCATTCCATTTAAGAAAAATAGAAGAATTAAAAAAAGATAGTACTCTTATTTTGGCAGTTTTTGAGAGATAAAATTATTCACTTCTCTTCGAATTTTACACAAATTCAAGACCATAAACTCTTCTAATGAAGTTGACAGTATCTCTTTGAAGTGACAAATTCTTTACGCTATTTAACACACAGCTACATCTTAGCCTGTAAGTTTTTACAAAACGTAAGAATGATAAATATTTAAATTGTTTTGATTAGAGAAAGAATACAACGTTAAAGTTTTAACACAGATGAAAAACCAGGAGTAACTTCTTATTCATTATGAAAGGGAAGAAGAAAACCATGTCAGAACATCATTCACTGGATCAGTGGACTTCAAACAGTAACTTCAACATGTTTAAAACAGTTCTGCCACAAAAATAGATTTGACTTAATTACTTGCAATACATGTGTTAAACATTTTAAATTAAGTCACGTTAGAGAAACAATCCTGACTTACCTCGTTTTTGTATTTAGCTGTTGAGAAAGGTTTTGATCCTGCCATACCTATTTAAAAAATGTTGGGAAAATGTGACTATATGAAACACAACTTTCTAAATCTATAGAAAGAATCATTTTATGTCATTTATTTTATACAAAGTGTTTTGTTTCTGTACCTTCATTCATTAATGTTTTTGGAATTTGAAGCTAATTAATTTGAAACATACAAATTAAAAATATTTTGTTTGAACAGAATACAGAGAAATGGGTTTCCTCAGACAAAACTGCGCTAAATCTAATCTGTGTTAGATGGGCAATCTGGTTGTAGCTATGGCAAATGTGTACTCATGGCTCACTTCTTTGGATTTATGAAGTACACGCATGTGTGTCTAGCCATATGTGTAACAAAATCCATTCCAGTATAGTCCACAACAGCCAAAACGAGCCATGGATCCACTGGCATATGGCCTGGATGTCTCAGAGCTCGTCCAGATCAGGGAACCCTAGGTAGCTAGCGCTGCACTGCACTGGGGGAAGCAGCAGACTGGAAAAACAGGCCGAGCATCACATTTTGTCAGGGGGAAAGAGAACCCCTAAGACCGAAACACTGAGTGTGTTCACAGTTACACGCACAGAACAGCCATCACTTTGGTGTGGGCATGGCTGGCACACTTCATTTGCACATCAGACTGTGGCTGAGAGACCACAGGGTAAAATGCAGAGTGAGTTCACCTGTTTCTGTGGTGCCTCTTTGCTGTTTGTGTTTACTCAACCCCTCCATGACATCTTGGATTCTCCAAAGTTCTTTCTGGATCTGTGCACGCTGAATTCCTGCTGATTCAGTCTATCAGTGAAAATGGACAGACCACATATAGGAACATATCTTTAAAGTCAGAAATTCCACTAACTATTTTAAAAATGAGAATTGTGCTGTACAGAGTTTTAAGAATACTTATTGTGACTTGTGGAATGCTATTAGGTTTATAACTCCGGTTGCAAAGATAAAAGATCAACGTGGAAAAATAATTTAACTTTAGACTTAAAGGTACTGTTTAACACTTTCATATGTATATAAAAAACTTTTCCTCGTGTTATTCATGATCCCAGGACACACAACATCAGAAGAAATTAAAATGAAAAAATCCCTCTCCCTGCCCCCCAAGCAACTTCCGAGGAGAAAAATAAATCAACAGAATGGTAAATTATATTAGTCTAGTATACACAGGGCACAGTACGACCCACTATTCATGGTTTTAGGAATCTGTTGAGGACCTTGGAGGGGAGAGGGGAGGCAAGGGGAAGGGAGTGGAGGCAAGGGAAAGGGAGGGGAGGGAAGGGGAAAGAGGAAAGAACAGAAGGTACAAAGAAGCAGAAAATATGCTCACCTCTGTAAGTGGCAGGAGGAAGCATTTCAGCCCCAGCAAGCCCAGACACTGATACCACCTTTTAGTAATCCAAGTGGCCAACAGTGAGGTTTCCAGACTTATGCTCTCCTGCCTAATATTCTTATTTTGTCCCATTAACCTAATTTTTTTTTAGTATTATATTTAGCCCTATTTCTGTTAAATTTACGTGTTTGCTGTTTAACCATCATGTAGTATCTTTTCTATAGCTGGTGTTATTCTGAGCATTTAAAAAAAATCACCATATTTAATCTTCAATAGCCTTGTTATTATGAAGGGTAGGGTAAATTCTTTATTTAAATTAAAAATTCTTTTGATGTAAAATGAGGAGGTTTTGTGCTTTCCATAGGTATAGTTCCAAAAGACAATGACACTTCTCTCACTCCCTTGCTCTCCTTTAAAACCCCTCCCCTTTTCCATATCTTCATCAGTTTTTACAAAGACATAATTTTAAAAAAAGATTTATTTTTATTGGAAAGTCAGATTTACAGACAGAATGAGATACAGAGAAAGATCTGTCATCTGCTGGTTTTCACCCCAAGTGGCCAGAACGGCTGGAGCCAAGCAGAGCCAAAGTCAGGAGCCAGGAACCTCTTTTGGGCCTCCCACGCGGGTGGCAAGCCTTTGGGTCATCCTTTGCTGCTTTCCCAGGCCGTAAGCAGGGAGCTTGTGGGATGGGAAGTAGAGCAGCTGGGATACAAACCAGCCCCCATATAATAACAGGGCAAGAATTTAGCCACTAGGCTATTGTGGTGGGCCCACAAAGACACAATTTCATTCCATTCTATATTCACAGGCTTAATTTACCACTAATCATAATACTTAACAGGTAAAATGTAGCGAGACCAAAGTTCCACTACAGTGTAAACACAGGCTAAAAAGATTACGAGGCAGGTATTATTAACATTTTCATTTCATAGTTGTGTAAACTGAGACACAAAGTTACTACACAACTGATTTAAGTTGGCTTGTGAAATGCTGTGCTATCATTCACAGTGGTGTGGGATGGAGTAATGCCTTTTAGTTCTTGTTTTCTCAAAAAAAAAAAGTCTTAACTATTTTGGGTCTTTATTGTACTTTAAAAATACTGTAGTGCTCTTTAAAAAAGTTCTTTGGAGATTTGATTAAAACGGACTTGTATTTGTGAGATGAATTCTCATCACATTGATGCTAACCAGGCCATCGGCGACCATGGTACACCACAATTAAACCTCTCCATTCACTCAGGTTTTTCCCTTATGCTCTATAAAATTAATAACTTTTCCTGATGAATACTTTTTCTTAGGTCAAATCAGTATTGACAAGCCACTCTGGCCGACGATCCCTTTTTGAGTGGCCTGTGAGCTAAACATGAATTTTGACATTTACATTTCACATTGGGGACCCAGTATCATAGCACAGCATGTTAAGCCACTGCTTGCCATGCCAGCATCCTCTATCAGGTGCTGGTTTGGCTCCTGGTGACTGTTTCTGATCCAGCTCCCTGCTAACGTGTTTAGCAAAGCAGGGGAAGCTGGTGCAAGTGCTCGGGCTCTCGTCGACCACGTGGGAGTTCTAAATGGAATTCTTGCCTCGTGGCTTTGGCCTGGACAATGGTTGGCTATTGCAGCCGTTTGGAGAGCGAACCAACAGGTACAAGATCTCTTTCTTTCAAATAAATAAAGAAATCTTTGGTGAATTTTGTTTGTGAATACATTCCTCCCGCCCCCCCCCCATCAAATGATATGTGACGGAATATATACTTGCTATGCCTAAAATATTTAATAGGTACCTTCCCTGTGCAATAGAGGAGTCCCAGCTACATGTGGTTTATTTTCTACGAGTTAACCTTACTGACTGTCAACTTGCTATATTAATGAGTTTAGCCCACCAGGCTTTCAACACAGAAGGTAACATTTACACAGCATCATAAGCATTAAGGGACTTTGATATTTTCTTTTTAAAAAAATTTTATCTGTTGACTGCTCAAGGCTAGCATGTCTTTTTTCTTTTTAAAAAAGATTTATTTATTTTTACTGGAAAGGCAGATATACAGAGAGGAGGAGAGACAGAAAGGAAGATCTTCTGTCCGATGGTTCACTCCCTATGAGCCTGAAATGGCTGGAGCTGAGCCAATCCGGAGCCAGGAGCCTGGAGCTTCTTTTGGGTCTCCCACGCGGGTGCAGGGTCCCAAGGCTTTGGGCCGTCCTTGACTGCTTTCCCAGGCCACAAGCAGGGAGCTTGATGGGAAACAGGGCTGCCAGGATTAGAACCGGCGCCCATATGGGATCCCAGGGCGTTCAAGGCGAGGACTTTAGCCACTACACTATTGTGCCAGGCCCTCACATTTTCTTAAACATATATTACCCCCATTATTCACAGCCACACTAGGAGAAAGGTATTATTTCTATTTTATAGATAAGAAAACTGCCTGTTTACAAACTGGATTCTTTAAAACAAGTGGGAAGGTATCTTCTCCTTTTTCTGATTCTTTGTCAGTCAAGATAGTAGGTTAGATATAGTTTGAAAAAAAAAGGGGAAGAGGCATTTAATACAGAATATATTAGAACACTTTCATGAAAGATAAAGAAAAGGGCTCTGTATGGCAGCCTGGAAGCAAAAGTCCTTGTCTTGCCTCCGCTGTGACCCCATATGGGCGCTGGCTCATGTCTTGGCCGCTCCCTTTCCCATCCAGCTCCCTACCTATGGCCTGGGAAAGCAGTAGAGGAAGGCCTAAAGCCTTGTCACCCTGCACCTGCAGCAGTCCCTGGGCACGCTCCTGGCTTCGGATTGGATCAGCTCTGGCCACTGTGGCCGCTCGGGGAGTGAACAGATGGAGGCGCTTTCTCCTTCTCTCTGTGGATCTGATTTTCCAATAAAAATAAGTAAATCTTTAAAGCAAAAAAACAATAAATAAATAAATAAAGACAAATATCCATTTTTGATAATTTACATAATCCAATGCTTCAGTACCAGATGATACAGAGTCTTGTCAAAGACCTTGAAGTTACATTTAAAGAAACTGCTGGGAATGCCGAGACACTGAGACGCAAGCACAGAACACTCACGGCTTACCAAGAGGGAGTAGCATACTTTGTGAGATACTACGTTTCCTGTCATTAAAACATATTCAACTTCATTTTTCAGGTGGCCATTGTAAACATTGCTTTATGCACGAAATCTAATGGTACAGCACCCATCAAAACCAGGTAAAATGATGTAAAAATAGAACCTTTTTGTACCTGTACTTCACCAAGGCGATCCAGCTGTTCTTGCATCTGGTTCCTGGAAACAGTCACATCATATTCTAACTTATCATATTCTCTCCATGCTCGCTCTAGCTCCTGAAAATCAGAGTGCAATTACTTTACCATAAACACTACAATTATAATTTTGCTGCTAGATTAAAAAATTATGTAATGCATGTTGGGCAAAATAAATAACTTCATAATTTATCTTTTTATACACATTTTTGCCTTTGTAATCAATTCAACTACAAATTACTGAAGTTCAGTTTTTATTATTGATGTTGTATTCAAACTTACTAAAGGCTACAATATACCATAATTATCATTTATTCATTTATGACAAATGATTATTTGAATTGATTCCACTGCTGAAAAAGTATTACTGTGAAGAAAATTTCCTAACATGCAAAAGAGGTATAAATCAAGCATTTTTCAAGTTTTCTATGAATAAAAGCATGACATACCTTGTGCTTTATCAACACTGAGTTTTCGACAACACAAGAAACTTGATGACTTAGAATATACGGTAATAAAAACAAAACAAATTTAGCTTGCTATATGAACTACACAGATAATATTTCAATAATATGTAGTATTGAAATATGATATATCTAATATTTATATTTAATATACACATATATTTTTAAGAAACTAAAGAGGACCTGGCATAACGGCTCAATGGCTAAATTCTAGCTTTGCAAGTGCCAGGATCTCATAGTGGTACCAGTTTGTTTCCTGGCTGCTCCACTTCCCACCCAGCTCCCTGCCTATGGCCTGGTAAAGCAGCAGAGTGACGCAAAGCCTTGGAACCCTTACAATTACAGGTTAGGCAATAGTTCTCTGAGTAAAAAAGAAGATAATTTTATGCTGTAAAATTAAGAGAGTGAGTTAATTCTTTCATCATGCAACCATATGAATTACCATGAAGGCTGAGGAAAACCAGTCACACAGCACACATCGTATGTTAATACTTGAGTATAAAGTTCAAAAACAGTTTGACAATCAGACAGGGCCATTTCTGGGAGACCTGCTGGCATGCTAGTTACACAACCTAATGTTATCAAGACACCTCATCTGTATACTGGTCTGGAATATGTTATATACCAAGGGAGGTTACAACAAAAAGTGTGTGGGAGAGAAGGAAGATTGCTACAGGAATTGCAGGAGGTTTTTTTGTTTGTTTGTTTGTTTTGTTTTCTGTTTTGTTTTTAAACTCTAACTTACTATAAACTTAGAAGGTGGTATAAGTGGTATAAGTTACTACTTTTAATTCTATACTGATACAAGACTTAGCCCCTGGGAGGAGGAGGGAGAACTTTAAGTAGATCTAAAATGAAATCACAGATATTTAAAAAAAAAAAAAATCAACCAGGACTACATAATATTCAAATTATAGAACTCTAACACATTCATATCATGATCTTTGTTAAAAAGAGTTAGCACTAATGATACATCAACAGGTGTCAAACATAATGAGATCTTTCTTTTTCTTATCCAGAACTAATGGCAATTTAAAATAAAATCTACTCAGAAGAACAGTCACACAATACATTGAAACAAAATCTCAATTTCTTCCTCTTTCACTATCACAATGCCTTTGAGTTGTTTTTTTTTTTTTTAAAGACTTAACAATTACCAATTACATTAAAGGTACAGAGACTAAAGCAGACAGAGATCTTGTTATGCATTGGTTCATTTCCACAAGCGACTGCAAACAGCAAAGCTGTGCCAGGCCAACACAAGGAGCCAGAATTCTTTCCAGGCCTACTGCCTGGGTGGCGGGGTGGCAGGGACCCAAGTACTTAAGGCAAGCTGGGCTGCCTCCTAGGGCATGCATTAGCAAGAATGCTGGATAGCAGGGCCCTGAAGCCAGGCACTCTGAGACGCAGTGTGGGCCCCCCAGCAGCGACATTACTGCACCATATGCCGCCTTCCTGCCTCTCACTTAACCCAACTTAGGCTGCAATCATGTCTTTTTTTTTTTTTGATGCTACAAATTACTATGTACTACCAAGTCTTGGAAAATTAAGGCACAGTAATATTTAAGTTAAATTGATCACTTTGATGATTACACATAGACATAAAAACATTGTTTAGATAGCTACCACCCAATCACGGCAACCCTGCCAACTGGGCTATGAAACAGCTGACCTGTGAGATGAAACGTGATCTGTTTTATCAGAGGATGCATAGCTCTCTTGGTGAATATTTTTAAAATGTGTCGTGTAAAAATGTTTTTTAAAAACAGCTAGTCTTTTATTTTCTTTTTCAAATCACTATTTGTAAACTAACAGAAGAGGCTATTGTCTTTTTCAATGGGATGAAATTCAAATTCTATAGAGTAAGGCTCAGCTAAACCAACCACAATAATAAAGCTACATGTATTTTATCATCAAGCACCATATAATTTCATCTGTAAATTTTCTGGTACATGTGTTTGGAAAAAACAAGCTAAGCGAAAAACCAAAATAAAATACTTATTTTTAAGAGGCTTAATGTATATTCTTCTTTAAAAAATATTTTTAATTGTCTCAAGTCTCCCAAACCTGGACTCTTCGGTACACACTTGGCTGAAGAGACTGGGTCGTACAGAACTTCTCCCATCTAGCTTTTGCTAGCTGAACTCCCGCGCTGTCACTGGGCATGGGCTCCCATTCTCTGTATTTTCTCTGAACTTGCAGCTGAGATTCAGATCCAACTTTTTTGGTAAAGATACCTCACAGATGCCACTGGGTACTTCCTAGCACAGCACGTCAGGAAGCTTACAGCATGTGGCGTCTCCTTTCGGGGGTGTTATGCTGAACTCGTAACTAACATCTTTAAAACCTGAAGTATTCTCAGCACCTAGTGCTGTGGCACAGTTGGTAAAGGCTCTGCCTGCAGAGTCAGAATTCCATAAGGGTGCTGGTTCAAATCTTGCCTGTTCCACTTCCGATTCAGCTCTCTGCTTATGGCATGGGGAAGCAAGCAGAGGATGGCTCAAGTGCTTGGGCCCCTGCAATCATGTGGGAGACTTTGAAGAAGCTCCAGGATCCTGGATTTGGACTAGCCCACTGTGGCTATTGTGGCTATTTGGGGAGTGAACCAGTGGATGAGAGATCTCTTTCTTTCTTTCTTTCTTTTCTTTCTTTCTTTCTTTCTTTCTTTCTTTCTTTCTTTCTTTCTTTCTCTCTCTCTCTCTCTCTCTCTCTCTCTTTCTTTCTCTCTCTCTCTTTCTTTCTCTCTTTTTAAAAAAGGTATTCATTTATTTTTATTGGACAGGCAGATATACAGAGAGGAGGAGAGACAGTGAGGAAGATATTCTGTCTGATGATTTACTCCCGAAGTGATCCCAATGGCTGAAGCTGAGTCAAACCTAAGCCAGGAGCCAGGAACCAGAGCTTCTTCCAGATCTCCCACGCAGGTGCAGGATCCTAGTCCTAAGGCTTTGGCCCATCCCCCATGGCTCTCCCAGGCCACAAGCAGGGAGCTGGATGGAAAGTGGAGATTAGAACCGGTGACCAGATGAGATCCTGGCACGTTCAAGGCGAGGACTTTAGCTGCTAGGCTATTTATTGCGCCTTTCTAACTTTTCTCTCCAAACAAACAAACCCTTTTTAAAAATAAGAGTATTGCATGATAGTTCATGGATGTAGACTGACCTTTTTATAGAAAAAGCAAGTTTGTAGCTGTATCCGTGATTCCCAATAACCCTTTAAAATATTGAGAAGATGCAAGGAATTTTAACACATTAGCTTATGTCCAAGGCAATGCATATGTTCTGCTTCCCAATTCCTATATACCAATGAGTGTATAGTCTAGTATGTAAAATTTTGGTTTACTCATGGCCTTCCTGTCCAAAATCCAGTTTGGAACATAAACAAGTATAACAGAAGCCAACCATCACTTAGCAACTGCTCAGACCCAGGTCATTTCCCTGCCTCTCGGTTTGCCAGCTTTCCCACGGTCTCTTTGTCACAGGGACATATAAGGGGAAGCGTGTTTGATGCAGGGAACAGGATGCCACTTGGGATGCCGATGCCCTCACTTCATAATTGAGTGCCCGGTTTGAGCCCAGGCTCCTTTGCCTCCCACCAAACTTCCTGTTAGCATGCATACTGGGAGGGAGGTCAAGTTTTTGGGTCTGTACTAAGCACAGGGATTCCATGCTCCTGGCTTCAGCGTGGCTCAGCCCCACTATTTCAAACACACAAACACACACACACACACACTTTGCAATGAGTTACTGTTTTAGTTGCCTATCAGCATAAATTAAGGATGACTGGGGCCTTTTTACCTCAGACGGCTCAGTAAGAGAATTTAGATTTGGTTTTAAGTCCCAGGAAGTTTTGTGATCACACAGACAGTAAGAGGGAACAGAGAGCCCAGGTGCTGTAGAACGCAGAAGCTCTTGGTTTAGGGACCGACTCTGTTCTGTATTAGTTGGGTCATCTTTGCAAACCTCAGCTGCCTCATCTGCGTGGCAGAGTCAAGAATGATTCTAAAATGAAACTGATCATTACATTTATATTGCTCAGGTTTTATTATACTTCAAAATACATGGAATCTATGAAATACATAAAGTCGTAAGCTCACTGTACTGCTTTTTCTCATTTCTGATGTACGAATGGCACCAGTGCCACCTGCTCCTTGAGTTGCTCAGAACGAAGGCTGTGCTTGCAAGCTGACAAAGCTTAAGGAGAGTTTCTGATCAATTTAGAGACAAGTTTTAAAAGGTGGATTTCCCCAGAGAGGTGACCGCAGCAGCTGTCTGGAGACACCACATCCCTTTTTGCTCATTTGATTTCAACAAAATATAGCCCGGTCCCTGGTGTTGCCATGTTCTGAGACATGTGGCCCATCAGCTAAGGTGGCCTGCCCTGGGACCTGTCTCAGACGAGCTTTTTCTTCTTTCCTGTCTCATTCTTCCCACTCTCTGCTTTCCAGAATCATTTTCTGAGGAAACTGTCCAAACACACACACAGCCACATCTCGGGCTCTGGTTTTCAGAGAATGTGCACTGTGGGTTTACAGCCTGTGTTAAGGGAATGAGATGCAGCACTGTAAATCAGAAAAACACACAGGGACCTCTGCTTTGCTGGGTGACCATAAACGAATCCTAGTCTCCTGTACCTACGTGGCCTACCTGGAGAGCCGGAGGTGCTCTCTGAACTGAAGCTGTAATCTGTGGAAGTCCTTTTGTTACACCTCCACACTGGGGACTCAGGTTTGACCCACCATTGTGAACTGACAGGGAAAGAATCAGAAAACCCTCCCAAATTTATCCTGCAGAAATTTACCTCAAACTGAAATGTACTCAGCAGTCCCCAAGTGCCAACTATACACCTGGTATGAAGTTTGGCACACACTAGCATTCACAGCTGAAGCTGTGAGCCTAAGTAGGTTCAGAACAAAGCACAAACACAGTTTGGACTGTATGCAGTAAGACATGTCTCAGAAGAAAATTTTCAGCGGGTTGGTTCTAGCTGCTGATTAGCACTGATGGCAAGCAAAGAGACCCTAGGGTAGTGGTTATATAGGGTAACAAGCAGAAAGGGGGATACTCAAACAAGATTAATTTCTGTTCAGGGATTCTCATCAGGGCTGGAGAACACCTTGGGACAGAGCATCAGATTCGAAGCTGACTGATGAGATTTAAATCATTGAATCCCACTGGTGAGCAAAGGACTTTTCTAAATTGGAGTTTCAAGAACAGAGACCAAATGTCAGTGGTTTAACTATAGCAGTGTGACCCCCTGTGTTGCCTCGCCTCAGCTGTCCCAGAGCCACTGAGCCTCCCATTATCTTCTGGGTATTGACAGCTTAACCCCATTTCCCTCTCTAATTTCATAGTCTCCATCCTCCAAGGGAAATCCCTTATGCCAGCCGGCTGCTGGTTGAACCTGTCCACACCCATCCCTTCCCAACTCATCCCTGCGCTGTGGCCCCAGGGTGCTGTCCTCTGCGACCACTCTCCACTTACTCCTTCTTCCTGTCCCAGTTTTTATCGGCTCACAGACTGTTTCCCTACAGTCAATGTCAGGGGCAAGCATTTTCTTTGTGACTTTACTCATCTGTTAAGCACCCATGTAGAGTAAAGTCTTTGGGGGCTATAGCATATTGTTTATTGGCTTGGTAACCTTAGCTAAGCTCAATCATTCATCCATTTTTAAATGTACTTCCTCACAGTGCTAGAAGCTAAAACAATAAAGATGAATGAGACATGGTTCATGATTCTAAGAAGCTCACAATGGAAAGGAAAATAGAAATTTTACAATTCAGCTGGGGTGGCACCATGGCTCAACAGGTTCATCTTCTACCTTGAAGCACTGGCATTCCATATAGGTCCTGGTCCATGTCCTGGCTACCTTCCAGCTTCTTGTTTATTGTTTTGGAAACCAGCAGAGGATGGCCCAACTCTTTGGGACCCTGAAACTATGTGGAAGACCCAGAAGAAGCTCCTGGCTCCTGGCTTTGGATTGGCTAAGCTCCAGCCATTGCAGTCACTTGGGGAGTGAGCCAGTGGTTGGAGGATATTTTCCTCTCTGTCTCTCTCTGTCTCCGTGATTCTGCCTTTCCAATTAAAATAAAAAAAGAACACTAAAATATTTAAAATAAATTTTTAAAGATTTATTTTTATTGGAAAGGTAGATTTATAGAGAGAAGGAAAATTACAGAGAAAGATCTTTCATCTGCTGGTCCACTCCCCAAGTGGTCATAATGGTCAGAGCTGATGCTATCCAAAACCAAGCGCCAGGAATTTCTTATCCAGGTCTCCTCCATGAGCGCAGGGTCCTAAGGCTTTGGGCCATCTTCTACTGCTTTCCCAGATCACACATAGGGAGCTGAATGGGAAGAGGAGCAGTTGGGACACAAACCAGCACCCTAGCGCTTCCAAGGTAAGAATTTAGTCACTGAGCCATCGTGCTGGGCCCAAAAACAAATTTTACAAGTCTATAAATAACACACTATATAGCTAAGGAACTGGAACTAGATAATGGAATTTAATTTAGGGCTTTGAAGGCATACAATGTTGAGATTCTGGTCTCTCCTGCCTTGGAAAGGGCTGTCTTAGGCCACATGATCTGTGCACCTTCACAGGGTCAGCGGCTCCCTAAAGGGCCTCCCACAGGCACAGGCCAGGGGTGCTAGGGGCTTTCTGGGACAGTGCCTTGTGTTAGGAGCTCTCCTTCAAGGGTGGGTTGGGCAGGTGCTTTAAACATGAGCAAAATGATCACATCAGAGCATTACCAAAACAGACTAAGCACACTCAGCTGAGAGGTTCCCATAAGAAAGAACAACAGCCAGAATTTTCTGGCCCGTAGTCCTGTAACTTTATAACAGAGTGTTTGAATTGCCAAATTTGAAAGTCTTATAGGAACCTCTCAGCTGAGTGTGCTAAATGACCTAAATTTCAGGAAATACTTATTTTCCTAAAGCAACTGGTTTCTATGTAAAACAGGCATTTCACAAAGATTAACCTGCCTACTAATTACAGAAATAAAGTTCATTCATTCTTCTTGCTGTGAAAGTGTACAACATAACATTTCCTATCATCATAATAAACAACCATCTCCAAAACAGTCCAACTAAGTAACCAAGAGAAAAAGCAGAGGAGAAAAAGAGGAAGAATTGTATGCTATTTCAGTGACTTACAGCGGTGGCCCGAGAAAGTTCCCGACACGTGCTGAGCAGCCCATTTTGTAAATCGTCTCTCTGTAACACCACCGTCTGAATAGCCGTTGGGCTATCTGCACTCATTTCGATCTCTTGGCTGGCTGATAGCAAAGCTTGCTCAAGCGTGTACTATTATAATGAAAAGAATGATACTTAATGTTCTGCATCATTGAATTAATTCTTTTTACTTGAGTTCTCAGCGTCTTGATAACCATCACATAGAGTAACATCAATTGGAGATAATAAACGTAATTGTCCTACTTTCTCCTTGTGGAGCTGCTGCAGTTTCTCTTCCAGAGCATGGACCACTTTATCTTGTTCACACAACCGGCTCAACTTGGCCTAGGTTACAAGAAAAGATGTCTTTTGTTAGCAGTTTTTGATTTTTCCTGTAATTGGAAGCAGGGTTATCACATAAATCAAACATGGAATATCTATCTGGGTCAATATTTATTTTAATCAGTACAATCAAAACTAAAACACACCTTAAAAAGAGTACTTATAGGGCCTGGTGTGGTAGTCTAGTAGCTAAAGTCCTCACTTTGCATGCGCCTAGGATCCCATATGGGTGCCAGTTCTTATCCAGGCTCCACTTCCCATTCAGCTCCCTGCTTGTGGCCTGGGAAAGCAGCAGACGGTGGCCCCAAGCCTTGGGACCCTGCACCTGTGAGGGAGACCCGGAAGAAGCTCTTGGCTCCTGGCTTCAGTCCTGGTTGTTGGCGCAACTTGGAGAGTGAGCCAGGGGATGACAGATCTTTCTCTCTGTGTCTTCTTCTTTTGTATATCTGACTTTACAATCACAATAAATACATTTTTTAAAAGCTGTGTTTTATGATGTAGTGAGAAGTAAGAAATGTGACTTTCCCTTCTTTGCCAATTATCTGCTAAATTAATTATCTGTGCTAGCCAGTAAGAGTCAAATCCACACATTCTCACATGGAATGCGTGTACCCCAAGTGGCATTTTCACCACGATTCCAAATGCCTACCTGAGCAACTAGCTTTTAGTTATAGTTTCTAAGAGCCAAGAGTTTTTAAAACTTTTTTAGGGGCTGGCTCTGTAGTGCAGCAAGTAAAGCCATCGTCTATGGCACCAGCATCCTCTGCTTTCCCAGGCACTTTTTCAGGGACTTAGATCAGAAGGGGAGCAGCTGGGGCATGAACCAGTGCTCATACAGGATGCTGGCACTGCAGGCAGCAGCTTCATCTGTAACACCACAGTGCCAGCCCCAACGCAGTAATTTTTTTGATCACTATTTGTCCTTCCCTTTTCTTAAAACAACAAAGAGGTTTATATTTTTGCACAAAAGTGACATTGCTAACTGGGGGGCAGGGGGCGGGTGGGAAAAATGGGAGTGAGGGAGTGAGAACAATAATCCAGGCACTGAAGATGGGGAAAGGCTAACACTCAGTGTCGCTTTGGACTGTGTGGAAGGAAGTTCCCACCCTCTAAACGCTCTCAGCAGCCAGGGCTGTGTCAGGCTGCTGACAGAAACCCAGTATTCCATCCGGGTCTCCACTGGGTGGCACAGACCTAGCCAAGCAGTTAAGCCATGATCTTCCACCACCCTGCACATCGGCAGGAAGCTGGATTGAAAGCAGTGCAGGGAAGGCTCAAACGAGCACTCTGCGAGGGGATGAGGGCATCGTCAGAGGTGGCTTAAGCCGCTGTGCCACAACACTGATGCCGAGCACTGTTTGTACGCATCTCATCCTTATACTCACATCAATATCTACTTCTTCCGGTCTGTATTTGTAAAACGTGCCTCTACATTCCTCTTGGGACAGCTGTAAAGAAAAATGCCATATGACAGTTTAAAAAAGCATGTTTAGAACACACATAAGATAGTCCATAGTTAAGACTTGAAATTTATACCAAGCACATAGTGAAAGCAGGGTATTAACAATTCTTATACACTCAGAAATTTAATTCAAACATAGATCATTACAAGAATAGAAAAATATTTAAGAGCGGTACAGAAGAATGATGCTAAGCTGGTCAAACAATTAACACAGCGCCTTACGTTCTCCATTTTGAAAACACACACTGTTTCAATGAGAGCTTGACAAATACAATCATAGCAACTGCATCAAATCAAATACTGGGATCAAGCAGAGATCTACAGTCAAAACTGCCTTCACGGTGTATGCATAATCCCACACCGTCTATGTGCACATTCAAATGCCAACACACCAGCGTATGGCTTTGCTGATGAAGCCTCAACATACTGCGCACACACATGGAATAAAGAAACACACATACGCAATAGAGACTTATCTTGCTCTTCTGTCTTAAGAACTAAAAGATAATGGAGGAAAAGGACGGTTTAATTGCAAAGAGGAAATGAAAACCCCATCACACCAAAAGCCTACGTTACAAACTACTGAAAGACCAATGACATCAAGGGTTTGCCTTCGCTGACAGCACTGCTACCATTACACACAAGAAACTAGAACTTAGTGCCTTTAAGCCTTCCCTTCTTCGGCTTCTTCCATGTTACTGCTCAGGCACAAGGCCACTCAGTTCTGCCTGTGCTTGCCCATCAGTCATACTACAGATTTTCACTATGTTTCTTCTCTGTAGATATTACACTGGCTGCTGGATATTAAGAAACACAATAGGGAGATCTGAGTTGGGGCTCACTGTGTGTTTATCACAATTGGCACACAGTTTTTCAAGGTGGGGATGGGAACTCTACTTCTCAGCCATATTCTAGTTTGGAAAATTAAGCTTTATGTTTATAGCAATGTAAGAACATGACACCTGTAGGAGTTCTTTCTATGAAAAACTGTCTCTTAGTTTTACCTCTAAAAGGAGGCATCATTTAAACAGCAGGTAACTCTGGATATAACAATCAGAAGGCTAATTTCATAAGCATTCTAGCCATACAATAAATCTTGGATTTATAGGTTTTATTTCAAGATATTGTATTTACATACCTCACGCAAACGAATCTGTGACTATTTAAGAATATGCAGTTGTTATTAAAATCATAAAACTTTCATTGCAATGAATATTACATGAAAAATGAATTTAATGGCAAAAATTAGACTTCTTAAGCACTATTTTAAAGAAACTGATCGGCTGTCATTTTAAATTTAAGCACCTAGATGCAATAAAAGAATTACATAGAAAAAAACCCGAAAAGGCTGATTAGATCCATGATGAAAAAAGATGCCAAATGATATTTTTGCATTAATAAGTTAATTAAAGATGAAAGCTACTAAGAGGTTCAAAGACATTTTGCTTAATATTTAAAGTTAAATGCAAAACAGCTTTACTAAGTCATGGAATTTGAATTTAATAAGTAGATAGTGCTACAAGTATGCATTGTATCCTATATCCCAGTGTCAACAGAACAGAAACTTCCATATTAAAATGGAAAAATAGCAACTTGTTCTGATATTTAGGGAACCTAATTACAGAGTTATATTCATGTCAGTTGGCTTGTTATAAAAAGGGAAAATACTGTATCGTCTCAACTTTTGCATTGAATCACATTACAGTCATATTATGCATAAATCAGATGTATTTGTTATATCTATTTTAGTATCTTTTAAATTTTTCTTTAATCATTAATTCATTCAGCAAACACTATTCATTAGTTATAAGTTAATCACATCTCATACATATATTACTATACGTATCAGAAAATGGGTATAAATCTTTCATTAAAAAAATCTTATAACTACAATTAAAAGCTTGTTATTCTATCCTCAACCCACCAAGAAAAATGTAAATTTCTGAAACATTTTGAGGAATTTGCACCTCTTTAAACTCATGCTAATGCAGAAAAATAGATTCTGATTTGTATGTATCTTCCTTTAAAGTTCTTAGAAACACCAGAAGAGTAAATGATAAAACTGTCCACGTAAGAAATTACCTCAGCTTGAGCAGTGCCCAAATCTCCAAGGCTGAAAAGTGCATGGCACAGATTCTACGGTCTAGGTAAGTGTGTAGTGTGCTAGGTTTTGTTTAGAAGGCTGGGAGCTTGTCAAAAGATATGTAGCATTTTTAAAATTGTCTTGGCATTAAGTTCAAACAAAATCATTTGTTAAATAAAATTCAACTTTCTTTCATATCCTTTAGATATGGGAACGCTATTCATACGTAATTTAAGGTTCCAGAAAAGATTTTGGGGGAAATATTTTTCAACTTGACAAAATTAGATGCACCTGATGGAGGTGGAAAAAAGTTTTTAAGTCTTAGGTTGGCGTGCAAATGAGTTCATCTTTTACAATAGACACTCAGCAGGTGCTTAACAAGTACTAATCGTGTTGCAAAAACAACGGGACACAGCATACAGAAAGGAAGGGGCAAGACTGAGAAATGCACACAACTTATTTTCAAATTGATGCACAATTATTTAGCACTTGTTTTGTTTCAGCTTTAGGTCCTTCACATATGGCCAATTTCAAGAAAATTATCACCTGCTATCTTGGGGATCCTGCGGGAAGGAAATGCGGGACGGGAAGGTCCTTGTGAGGGAGGAGCCGAGTGGCTGTGAATCAGAACTTCAGGCGGCTACTCTCAAGGTAGAATGCCACCTGGGAAAAACAAACTGTGACAAATAAGAGCTTTTGTGATTTTTAAAAAAATAACATCAAGGTAAGCCTGGAGAAAAAAAATCTACTTTGAATTTATATAAATTGATACACAGAGCTCAAGAAACATGTCTGGTGCTTTTCTTTATAAAAAACGCTCTGCATGAAAGCAAGACAGCACCAGCCCTCAGCGTTGAGAGCATGCATCTCAGCACCGACTTCCTGCTAACGGGCTGCTGGGCCACACCTAGGCATGGCTGCTGCCATCGGAGCACCGGAACCTCAGATCTCCCTCCTGCCTCCAGGTGTGGATTTCTTTTCCTTTCAGCTATTAATATGCAGAAATATATTTCCACACATTTATTGCTCTTTTAGCATTCAAACCTGGTAATGTAAGACTAGTCTTGGACATCTAGACATTAGTGACATTTACTGTAATCTGAGAAACTTAAGTCATCAGGGACTTTGGTATCAATGAATGGTGACCTCCACTTTCAACCTCTGCTAATGTGCCTAGGAGCAGCAGAGCATGGCTCTAGGGCTTGGGCCCCTGTACCCATATGGGAGATTGAAAAGAAGCTCTTGGCTCGTGGCTTCACAACAGCCCAGCTCTAGCCATCATGGCCATCATGGCAAAGAACTAGCATGTGGAAGATCTCTGCTTCCCCCCTTTTTTTCTCTCTGTAACTCTGCCATTCAAATAAATGAATAAACCTTTTTTTAAAAATTCAGACTATCATTATTATCTAAAATATGCAAAGGGCTGGCTTTGTGACACAGCACATGAAGCTGCTATTTGTGACACTGGTCTCATACACTGGTTGCAGTCCTGGCTGCTCTGCTCCCATTCCAATGTCTTACAAATGTGCATGGGAAGGCAGAGGAAGATGGCTGAAGGACTTGCATCCTTTTCAGCCATGCTGGAGAGAGGTCGGAGTTCCTGGCTTCAACCTGGATCACTTCCTGCTCTTGTGGCCATTTCTAGAATGAACCAGCAGATAGAAGATTTCTCTGTGTGTAGTTCTATCAGAAAAATACATCCTCTTTAAAAATGAAAACATAATCTATTGCAACAAAACAGCCATGTTCTTATGTCAATTTAATCACATAAAATGCTAATATTCTACTGACAGCTCGAGGCATTAAAAATGATACGCCTTTTAGAACTAGTGTTAATGTTTTCTGAGTGACGCATTAGAGTGTAATGGTTCGATCACATGGTGACTTTCGGATTTCAAGTTTTCTTTTGATAAGTAAAGCTGTTTAACTTTAAATATTTAGCATTTTGTGTATCTCTTAATTGCCAACTAAAGATTATTTTGAAGCACATAATGTATTTTAAGTATTTTGCAGCCTGGGCTGGCTCAAAAAATGAAAGTGGTACTCTTTCTCTCTCATCAACCCTAGCAATCTCCCAGGGAAATGGTGCATTGGTGCAGACCCAGGGCAACAACCAAGGCAGAGGCCTTGAAGCTCAGTTGAGCTTTTAAATTATTAATCTATTTTTTTTCTTTATCAAAATCAGCATTCATTTTTCATGTTAGATAATCTTCTTCTGCATGACTTTAAAGCTTTGTAACACATCATAGGCCAGAGTAATTCAAGGGTGAAAAGCAGCTGATGTTGCGAAACACACAGCTAGGAACACTGAGACTATGAGAAACAACAGAACTGGAGAGAAATGTGCATGACTTCTTTTGCAGATCTGCAGATTACCAAGGTTACTCAACCAGTGCCAGGCAAGTCCATGACACCTGAACTGGAGGAAAGAACGGGCAGGAGAGGATTCTCCTGCTGACCATGTTGGAATTGCAACAACACCAGGAGCAAATGCTTCCAGTCAGTTAAGGAAATGGCTATGTTTAGATTTTACCCCATCTAGGACACAAGCAAGCTTTAGGTAACACCCAAACAGATACAATCTATTCCTGACACATAGAGGTGGGTGTGGAGGGCTGCCCCCAAAAGAGAGCATTTTCACAGTGTTTTCCTTTTCTAGAAGTCAGCTGTAATGTTCTTGGGGTTAATAAAAACACATGTAAATCTAGCAAAAATTTTGCACATGTACTGCAGACCTCCAAGTATGTAACAACCAAATACTCTATACAAAGACTTTAGGAAAATGGCACACTTAATAGTCAACAGCAAAATGTTCAGCGAAGCCATGCTAAGAAGACTGCAGCATCTTATAAAAGCATGGGTGAATTGTGGGGTTCCAGAAACACAGACCAAAAAGAAAATGAGGGCCACACGGATGCCATGAGTAACTCTGAGGATAAACCAAAAGTGTCGCTGAGGGAGTTTGCGGATGAGTAAGCAGTATCATTCATTGTCCAAGACCTTACTTGCTGGTACAGTTGTGGTCTTAGCGCCGAGTTCTCAATCATTGTGTGAACCATGCTGATAATAGGTTCATTTTCTTTCATCTATTTCAAATCAGGAGGAGCATACAGCAAACATCAGTTTACAGCATAGCTAGATTTGAAAGATGAGACTGTAAATATAGCCTCTACTTCAGTAACTTCCTAACAGCGCAGTTCACATTTTAACCCATGATTCAACACAACTTAATTTATACAAACCCTTCCAGACAAATATTAAGCGCTGTAAAATATTACTAAGGTTATCAAAAAGCTTTTTATTCACAATATCGCTGCAACTAGGTTATAATCAATGAATAGTGAATTACCACACTGATTAGAATACACGTCATACATCATACTTCAAAGGACAAACTACAGGGGGACAACCCATGATCCTGGAGGAAAACGCTATCACTTAATTGATTACTTATAAGGTTAATCAGAAAAAAAAACTGGTTTTCTACAAACTTCAAAATTTTAATATAATATTCAACATACCTGTTATTAATTACACATTTTTATTGAAGTTACATTTGACAGACTCTTGGTTTTGTCACAGTTTAAGAGTATATGCAGAATTACTCAAGGATAGGCAACTAAAGCATATTCAGCCAAAAGTTCTCTTACGCTGCTACAAAGGTAGGCTGACCCGTGCTCACATTTTCAGCTATATTGTACTTAATTACTGCCTCCAGAAAAACCTATCTTAGCAGGCTCTGTATTTATCATACAATCGCCATGAAATATAGAGCAAAATGCCAAGAAAAGTTTTATTATTCCTAAGCAGATGGGTCTATAAATAGTGATTCTCGGTTTATATAACTTTAATCTTCCTTAATGGTAGAAAATAAATATTTCTATCATGCTTAACAAGTTCTACTTCAACGATTTAGCTAAGGATATAACGTAAGTTCATCTACCTTAATAAATGTATAATGAACATGAGGCAAAGCTAAACCTTTAAAAAATTATGTTATCATAATTTGTTTTCCACCTAGTCAGCCATCCTTCATACAACAAGGCCTATTTGGTTGTCAAGTTAGAAATTTCTACCTTTTTATCAATTAAGATAAGCAAATATGTGGCATGCCATTTTATAGAATCCAAGTAAAAGCTTCACTTAGGACAAAAGCAGTACTCTCAAATCTATATACCTACAACTCCTTGGTGAGCTAGAGTATTAAAAAAAAATCAATTTCACTGAGGAATAAATTCACAAATCTTGGTTGTACAAGCCAGTAACTTCTGACAAAGCCATACACCCATGCAACCGTTACCACAATCCAGGTCATCCCCACCTCTCCAGAAACCCCTCCCATCCATTACGACCAGTCTCCACTCTCCCCCTGCCCAGGTAACCACCCAGCTAATTTCTATAACTGAAGATAATTTACCTGCCAAATCAATCCATCAGTCAATTAACTAAAGACCTTTGGAACCACACAAATAGGTTGAAGCTAAGCCTCTTATTTTTTTTTTTCCTCCAATGTTATTCAATAAGGCCTCAAGGCTTTTAATGTTAAGTGATGTCTCATGCACACATGAAATGAATGTATTCCCATCCAGTACAGGATCAAGTTTTTACAGTGTTGGAAAGTACTTTATAAATAAGTAGTTACAGCTGAAAACTGCCTTTAGGACAAAAAGACTCCATTAAAAAAAATCCAGACCTCTTTATATCTTCTAAAAAATGTTTGCTATGCTTTATAAGCGAATGCTAGTTATTTTTTCATAATCATTTTCTGATCTTTCATTAAAACATAACTGCATTTTCTTTGCTGTATTTTAGTGCCCTAACACAAGTTCCTTTCGTATCTACCCATTATTAGCATAATTTAGGTATTCAAAGCAGTTTTATTTAGAACCACCGTTTCCTCAGAGGTTAGGGGGAGTACAAGGTGAGAAATGGTAACACCAGATCGCGTCCAAATGTAGAGGACACTCAAGGTCAAACGAATTGCCTGCCAAATTCCACAAACTCGGCAAAATGGACCACTGCGAACACTTTGAGAGGTTAACCACGCACCTATTTATAGGGACACCATGTTACTTATGCATTGAAGATCATTAAATATTCAGTCAAGCAAAACCGACTTAGGTACAGAAAAGCTATAAGAAAAAACTACCTAAAATGTACAAACTTCAGAGGGTCTTGAGAACACTTACAGAGATGACTATTTCCACAATGAAAATTTTAACAATATACACAGATTAAATTCACTGATATGAGAATAGGAAGGCACCTCTGGAAATGGACAAACGGGTACACAAAAGAAATGAAAAGTGCTAGCAGTTATTCTGAACTGAGGCACCATGGACAATCTGTAGTTTTTTTCCTCTATATTTCTTCACATTTTCCAAATTTTCCACAATGAACAGACAATACTTTTCTAACAAAGTTCCTAAGGAGTCAAGGATGAAAAAAGAAAGCTGAAATAAAACCGAATTGACAGAACACCCACACACTCTGGCAATCGGCCCTTGGGGACACTGAGGATGGAGCCCTGTTTTCATGTCATGTCTGATGGAGGTGCCAAGGCAAAAGAGCCCACTGCAGTCCTCACTGCCTCGACTCCGTTCTACATACCTGGGACCACATCAGCAACTAACAGAAGTTAGGAAGCTGAAAAAATAAAATGATGTAACTGATTTGTAAATACAAAGAACCATCTGATACTATCTCTTTTCCTGGTTAAGTCTGAAATAAAACTCAGGGATATTTAGATCAACGGTTCTTAACCCATATCTGAACCACTTGAGAAGCTTAAGCGAACAGAGGGACTCTTACTCTCTGAAAAACCTAAGCCATCAAGGTGGCAGGCTGGTCCCGATCCCTTTGGTGGCAGTAACCACCATGGCGTCAGAGTCTTATTGCTCTGCAGCACACATCTTGCTTCAGAAGCAGAGAGCTGGATCAGAAGTGGAACAGCTGGGAGCCAAATCAGTGCCCAGAGGGGACGTTGGCGTCTACACCACGACGCCGGCTCTGAATCTAGAAACCTTCTATCCCTCTCTTTCCTCCCAGCCTACGGTAATCAACATTCTGTGCTCACAGAGTAGACTTTCACCTCCCACCTCGGGGACACGTGTTACTCGTCCTTCTGCATCTGGTTTCCTTCGCGTAACATCACGTTCTCCAGGTCTATCCGGTTCCAGCAGATGGTGAGCTCTTTTCCTACAGCTCAGTAACATTCCCTTGTGTATATGCATCACATTTTCTTTGACACCACCGAGCACTGACACCAACAGTTTGTTCTATGTCTTGGCTACACGTGCAGTGCAGATACCTCTGCTGGGATACGTTCATGGCCTTTGGATATACAGCTCGTAGTGGGATTGCTAGATCATACAGCAGCTCTATATCTATTTTTTTATACCTATATTTTAAAAAATTCTCCAAACCGTTTTCCACAGTGGGTGCACACTAATTTACATTCTCACCAACAGTGTTCCTGAGTGCCCTTTTCTCCATATCATCTCTAGCATTTATCCAGGAAGAGGGCCATTCTGTACAGGACACTGTGGTGGAGGTTTTGATTTACATCTGCCTGATTTATTTGGACTGAATAGTTAGACTGGAGCATTTAAGAAAATGTATTCTCTAAAACTGTTCACAGAATACTTCTTTTGAGAACTGTCTATTCAGGTTCTTTGCCCATTTTCTTAGTTGATTTGGCTTTGTTTTGCTGTTACATTTCCTTAACAATCTTTTGTCAAGTAAGTAACTTGTAAATATTTTTTCCCCAATCTGTCAGAAGTCCTTGTCACTTAGATGAACTATTCCCTTCAGTGTGTAAAAATTTCTGAGTTTGCTATAATCTTATTATTATTTTTTAAAATTACAAAGTCAGATATACAGAGAGGAGGAGAGATGGAGAGGAAGATCTTTTGTCCGATGAGTCACTCCCCAAGTGACTGCAATGGCTAGTGCTGTGCCAATCCAAAGCCAGGAGCCTGGAGCCTCCTGCAGGTCTCCCACACGGGTGCAGGGTCCCAAGGCTTTGGGCCGTCCTCCACTGCTTTCCCACGCCGCAGGCAGGGAGCTGCATGGGAAGCGGGGCTCCCGGTGCCCATATGGGATCCTGGTGTTTGTAAGGCAAGGACTTTGGCCACGAGGACATGATGCCGGACCCTACTATAATGCTATTTGTTTAGTTTTGCTTTTGTTTTCTGTTTTTGGGGGTCCTATCCAAGAAATCAGTCACTTTCATAACATCTTGTTTTCTTTTAGCAACCTCACACATTTTCTAACAACATGCACATTTAGGCAAAACTGAATTTCTGGGCCATGATCCACCATGTTTTTATATTCCAATTATTATGTAAAAATGGCCCACATTTTCTTACTAGAGAAGGTGTTATTTTAATGCTTGAGTGTTATTCAAAGGACCCAAATCTACAATGTTCTTATCACAAAATTGGAAAAGTAAAATACTATAGCTGCTTCAGGGTCTAACATAAAGCAAGATTTATTACTGGAAAAATCTTTGCTGACATGCTCAGAGACCAGCAACCCACTGAGATTTTTGGAAACCACCTGTGAAAACAAGGGTTGGTGGTGCAGCGGGCAAGGTTTCCCAAAGCTGATCAGAAGGGAACGACAGAAATGGTGACCTCAGCTGGTATTGGGCTCCTTTAGGCAAAGGGCTACAGTATGGCTGTAGCCAAGCAAGGCGGCTGAAGGGAACCACCTGAGTACATGACAGTGTTTTTGGATACATTCACCTGTCCTTCCCTGCTTAACTGCTGACATGTCTTTATCAGACTGTTTTCATAGAAAATGACATGCACTGAGATTTCATCTGCAAAGCACCAGGCTCTGGATCAACAGTCTGAATTTGGAGACACAAAATAATAATTTGTAAAAAACCTTGTAGGAGGCAAAATTATGATGAAAGCATCTTGTGAACAATATACATATTCTATATTAACAAAAGTATATTTCTTATAAAAATTAAGACAAGGAAAATGAGTTTATACTTTTTTTTTTTTAAGAATCAGGTGCTTTTTAGAGAATATGTAAAAATACGGAATGCTTCATGAATTTGCGTGTCATCCTTGCGCAGGGGCCATGCTAATCTTCTCTGTTATCGTTCCAATTTTAGTATACGTGCTGCCAACACGAGCGCATGAGTTCATACTTTCTGAGCGTTATCCTGATGCACAGCCCCTCTTTAAATATAACTAATCGGAAGCAGCGCAGTATTGTTTTGCTTCAAAGAGTTGAACATCGTCAAATCAACATTTGTCATGTAACATTTTCCATACTAACATCTTTATTTGATCAAATACATGTGAGCATTTTAAAAGAAGCCTAGGTAGGTTTTTCCTTAATTCACATGAAAAAGATGCCTTCATTAGAAGAAATTATTTTATAACTGAGACATTAAACATTAATGAAGCCATTTCATAAGCAATGGGAGTCAGTCTTGTTGAGAGCCATATTCTAGTTCTGAACATCCCCCTGAACTGGCTGAGCTTGCTGCTGCTCCCGAGCCAGGGCTCAGGACTGCAGATCACCGAGTAGGGAACACCAAACACTGGGAGGAAGGACAGGCAACTCCTGGTCACCCCCGCTTTGGGAATACATTAGCTCACCCCCATCCCGGCTTCCAGCAAGACAATTCACAAGTCAGCGCCTGTGAGACAGGACTTACGAACAAGGGTTGACCTGGGATAAGGAAGAACGCTAGAGAATTGCCGCTAGCTTCTAACGACCTCACCTGCGCAGCCCTCCCACTGCCGACCGCTGTCTCCCAGCTTACTGTGGTCTGTCTGCATTAACATGGCCAGAGATTTCCTACATTGTACTAGCAGAAGTCATGCTGCTAATTCAACGTGACAAGTACACGATGTTTAACATGCATCAAATATCATAGTAAAAGAAATTCTATGAATCCCACCTGATGATCCAAATACATGGCGTTCCTTTGAAGATGATGTGAAAGAATTTCATTCTAGCAGGCACCAATGAAGGGAAAACAGAAAAGGGTAGAGAGAGTGCAGAAGTTGTGAGAAGATCAACTTTAAAATAAGAAAGAAGAGCTTACGACAACTGATGCTAGCACAGCACAAAACAACTTTCAAGCACACGTGGAAAGTGTCGGGCGACACTCTGAAAGTTACAAAATGGTATTTCTTTTTGTAAGAAATCAAGGCGACATGCATTTAAAAATGGATCTACAAAGCAGAAGACCCTGCTTCTGGCTTCAGCAGATCAAAATGTGACACGAGCTACATTTTGCTTCTTTTTTTGCAATGGAAGACTTTTTCTAATGCTTCTTATGTAATCATAGGCTATTAAACCCTTTGAGAAATGTTTTCATGTGCTCATTTATTCATTAAGTCCAAAGGATAGATTTTTAAATAAATCTTTGGCATTGAAGAGGTGGCATTATTAAAACTGTAAGGAATTTTCAAATTACTTCTTTGCTGCATATGACAGGACATTGTAGTACCTGTTTTAGCAGATATGAAAATGGTTACGAAACAGTCAGTGAATAACACATGCTATGTTGTGATAACATGTGATTTCTTCCTCAGAATCCAAACCTGCTGGGTGGGTGGGGAGCTACAGCCTCCCTGTAGTTTTTTTCAGTAATGTGTAAGTAAGGTGACTTCTCAAAGGGTCAATAGGAGAGTCAGATGTTGGGACGATGGGGACAACGATGGCATGGGCTCATGCCCCACACGTGAGACACTGACAGCCGACGACACAGCGCGATGGCGCGGTGGCTAACCTTGGGGCCGGGGGCCTCGAGCTTGAGCTGCATGAGCTGTGCTAGCGTGTGCTCCCGGACACTGCTCAGTTCCGCCTGCTGCCGTCTCAGCTTTATGAGCAGCAGCGTGAGCTCCTCTGGCTGAAGGAGTACAATTTAAGAATCCAAATAGTGGGAAACAGATTAATTGTTGTCTTAAGTGACAGATATTAAACCAAGATTTCTTGGCAAGTTTCCTCTTACGGTTGACATCAAACATAATGCCTAGGCACTATGCTGATGGGTCCTACATAAACGCATAGATATCTAGAGAAACAGAAGGAACAGGGTTACTGCACAGCAGAACAACTGCGAGTTTTCTCAGAACTCCAGAAGATATATCAATGTTAATTCATGCACATTTGTAATGCCCTAAACCCTTATGAAATACACAGTAAGAGCTATTAAAATATTACAAATGGAAACAAGATGCCTAAAAAATTTTTCAGCAATAGACCAACACCTATATGTCAAATCTACTATTTTAGACATTGGAAGGTAAATAGCAAAGAATTAAAATTCAAGCAAAACTTGGATGATCTTTTTGTACTACTCAACTCAGAACATGCAATTTATTAATTATGTTCTAGTTATAGTGTGAATGTCACAATGAATGCATTCACAGCACTTTTTAATGACCAAAAGGTCAGCTTATCAGTTTTTTTAGGGAAAAAAAAAAAACCCACAAAAAAACCCACGCAGTTTCATGGGTGTGAAAACCTTCCTTCCACAGTCTAGTTCCTGATTGGCTACTCTTAAGCTCTAAGAAAACATATTTCACAGGTGCATGAAACTCCTAAACAGGTCAAGGTGACACAGTTTTCACTTGTTAGAGATGCTGTGAAGCATAGGCACTGGCAGTGTGACAGCTCATAAAATACTCCTTGGTGTTCCCATGAGCTTTGCTTCAAGAACTCCAGGCGGCAAGGAGAGGTTCTTCACTGTTCTGAGAATCCTGCCAAAAAGCATTCCCGCAGCTGGATTTGCTGCAGCCTACCCCGCAGCATTCCACCAGCTCTCCTCTGTTCTCCTCACTGAATGTTCTTGCCCTTTATTTTCCATCTGGTTCTTTATCGAGACAGAGATCTTTTAAAAATGAGAGCCAAACTTGCCAAACGCTGGTGGACACAGTGCGACAAGAAGGGCTGGCTCTGCTCTGACACCAGACACACCTGGGCATCTTGAGATTCTAGGTTGGACTTTGGCTCATGACCACTACATCCACTTCCTGAGGGCTTGCCAGGGAACAAGGAGAGTCAAATAAGAGATTTAGATAGTCTAAGATCTGGAGTGATGCTTGACAAATACCCAAGGAAATCTTAAAGCTCTGGTTTATTATCTATGGTGTTATAGAGGTAAACCTATATCCTTTCCTTTCTTTGTAAAGGATGAAACAGGTTAGTAAGTTTGCTCAATAGTTATGTTTTGGGGCCAAATAAGAAGAGGCACATTTATTAGGGTTGGGAGAGGAGCAACAGATGGTAAGTAACTTTTATGTCAAATATCCACTAGAGGGAGCAAGATAGGAGGGAACAATCTCATGATGTTATTCCACATTTACTTTATGGCTAGTGCAAGTTTCTTTTTCAGATAAATGACCTAATCTTTAAAAATCCCAGCATTTAAAGGCTCTCAGTTTTGATCAAGCCATATTTGAAATCTTCAAAAGCTGTAAGTTGCTGAAAACCAACAACTGTCTCCTTATATCTAAACATGCAAAATGAAATAAAACAATGTTAAGAAAGAATATGTTTTGATTGTTGTACCATGAACATTTCAGATCATAAAAATCTATATGAGCGACAGAATCACATTTTCACAGAAACTGCTCTCAAGCAGGTTATCCATGACAACAATTCACAAGAAAAAAAAAAAAAAAACCTTGGGTACCCAGTAAGGCTGCTTGCTGAGTTTTTGTTCCACTAAGGAACAGTCCAAGTCCTGTTTTCAGTATAAGGGAAGAAATAGAGCAAGGAAACCCACCTAGGTTACACACTAAACCTTCACAACACAATCTTCCTGTTTAGGTAGCCAGAGGTTTATGGAACGGTATTCACTAAGATACTGAAATGGCTGCTTCACTCCAGGTTCTCCCGACGTGCAGTACCAGTTTTCCTTTGGCAAACTCCTCTGAAAATGCCAACTTCAAACCTATGTCAAGGATGTGCCTTCCTGGGTAGCACATAAATAAACAAGAAAGAGATCACACTCACCGTTTTGCCCTGCAGGCTCTGGGGACTGACGGACTGCAAAGTCAGGCCAGCTGGCATCGACCTTCTGTCGGGCACATAGACGTGCTGGGGAAACAAAGGCAGGGGATGAGCCTGCGGTGAATTTCTCTTCCTTACCAACATCACTGATGAGAAATCTTGACATTTATTTTACAAAATGCCATTTTAAAATTACTTTTGGTGTTGATAAGGAGGTAGACATGAAAATTTCTCATGGGATTTGAATACTAGCGTAGGAATGAGTGAGGCGATTCTGTCTCAGTGTGGTTTAGTTATTCTCCAACCTGCTGGTCACAGCATCCCTCTGTATTTCTAAAAGGAAGTGCGGTGCCAAGGGCGGGCAGTGCAGCACAGTTCTGAGCGTGTTTCTGCTTTGGGATGTAGTCTGTTGTGAGGATCTCTCTTGGCAGAAGTAAGAAAACCCAAGTTGGAAATGGGAAGGGACTTTACAAGATTCTTGGGATAAATGTGGATGCTCATCTTCAATACAGCTAAAATGAGTGGTGCTTTCTTGAAGTTGTAAAGTTGCAAAGACTGTATCGGTGAGCTTTTAATATCATGAAGCGTTAACATTCACCGTCAGTTTGTACTTTAAGTGACTTTTTCTCCAAGCGCAGCTCTGTAACATCAACTACTCGTCATGTAGAAAATGCTTTTTGGTGAGCAATGTTCCCAACGCTGACACATTTGATAATGCAGTATCAAGAATCACATTTGCTAAAAATCAACACCAAGCACTACAAAGCCATCCTGTCAGGCTCACAGTGGCAGAGACTGATTTCCAAAATTATAAGCTTTGGTTGGAAACTCAAACGTTTGTCATTGGTAACAAATACTGTCAGTTGTTTTCCTTGAAGTGACATGCTCAGACTTCACTCTGAAAAAGTGTGTCTGTTGGGCCCGGCATGGTAGCCTGGAGGCTAAAGACCTCTCCTTGCATGCGCCAGGATCCCATATAGCCACCAGTTCTAATCCTGGCAACTCCACTTCCAGTTCCCTGTTGGTGGTCTGAGAAAGCAGTCAAGGACGGCCCAAGGCCTTGCGACCCTGCACCTGTGTGGGAGGCCCAGAGGAGGCTCCAGGTTCCTGGCTTTGGATTGGTGCAGTTCTGGCTGTTGTGGCCGCTTGAGGAATAAATCATCGGATGGAAGATTTTCATCTCTGTCTCTCCTCTCTGTATATCTGACTTTCAAATATAAATAAATAAAGTCTTAAAAAAAATCTACAATCACTTTAAAATCTAATATTAACAATAAAATAAATGTTGGCAGAAAGATTAAAAAAGGTGTGTGTCAAACACTAAGCCTGTAGTTATCATTTAAAAAATTATATATATGTATATATGGGACTCCATGAAGAAAGACGCTAGTTCAGCTTCCAATTCAATACTGTGTTTTTCCATGAAGCAACCATTAGGACTTTAGTATACAATAAGTCTTATATATGCTCTTTCACCATGATATTAGAGCAATATGGGTAAGACTCAATAAAATTATGCCTTACTATTTCATCAAGGAGGCTCTTCAGTGAATTTTCTTTCTATTATTATTATTATTCTATGCCACCTGACTGGCACTGAAGCACATTATGTCATTAGCACAGTGTGGAGGCTAAGCCTCGACTTACTTTAAAGTGCCTGAGTTTTACCCATTGTTGCATTGTTGCATTGTTGCATTTACCAATCGTAGTACAACAAATAAAGCTTTATTATTTTTAAAATAGCTTTGTGAGGAGGACACTTAGGGACCTCCCCAGGGATCCAGACTATATTTTGAGAACTGATGACTCTAAAGCCTGGGAGATGAAAGAATAGCTTAAATAAAAACACTGAGCAATGCTGGCGCCGTTTCCTGGAGGTAGTGGCAGACAGCTAGTTGTCCGGGAACAGAACACAGAGCGTACATTCATCTCCTTACTTGTTGCAGAAACATATATTCTGTTGAAGAACATGAAAAACACAAGTAATCATGAGAGAAAGCGATTTAGCCACTTTAAAACACACGCTAAGTTACACTGGAACGAATTTTCCTTATTAAATTGCCTATCTGGTCGTTGTAAAAAGTGCCAAAACACTGCCACCAAGTTCAAACTGAGCCTTTGGGGAGGAGGGCTGGCAAACTCAAGTTTCCTTCAAAACCATTTTCTCATCTATTACTTTTTACCAAACATTTATGGAAACATTGAACAAAAGCTTTACACCATAATACAAGTGAACGACTCAGCCTGTTACAAGGGTAACAAGAAAAGGCACATTTTAAAGTGGAGGAAAGTAAGAAATTGTCTAGGATTAAGAGGAAAACGTCTCCCTCCCGGATAGACGTTAGGGAGCTGGCTGAACGCTGAAGAGAACTGATTCAAGCAACTGCTCTAGCACTACAAAAGCAGAGCGATACAAAGTAACCTGAATCCACTTCATACAACTTAGTAAGGAATGCTTAGACAAAATTAAGTTCAAATAATAAAAAAGAATCTCTATCTTAAATTTAACAATGCACGCCTATGCCACTGTAGGTATCATGAAACTCTAATACTGGATACTAAGGAGGTATCTTGGTATTCTAGATATTCTGCTGATTAGGGGTTGAGGTCAACAATTTCATCCTCAAAAAGAGAGAGAGAGAGAGAGAGAGAGAGAGAGAGAGGACCCTCACACAGGATTACACATGTGCCAGGAGAGGGCTGGTGTAAATTTCCCAGGTGTGAAGAGCCAATCAAGATGTAAGTCTTAACCTGTGTGCTGTGCTATCAAGCAGAGAGGAATGTACATTGCAGCACTCCAAAGACATGCAGTGTCGTGACATGATTTTATATGTGAGACTCTGACACCGCTGAATTTAAACACTTTATTTATTTTAAAATAGCCATGGCATGGCTGGCTTAGCTAACTTTCCCCCCATATTCCCTTCTTTTTTCATTTCAAAGCTTAGTCTACCAGCAAGCTTTTCACTGGGCAAGCAGTGAACTCACAGCCGTGTGGGGTAGTTTGCCTTACCTTAGGGAGGTGGGCCCTGTGTCTGCGGTCCAGCGTCACATCTCCTCTCTGAATGGGCGATGACACTTCTGACCTGTAGGTGCGTTGCGGGGAGTAGCCCTGATAAGCAGCCATGGACCCATGTGACGGGGATGTGGGAATGGAGTGCATTGTCTGGTCAGAAATATTGACCATGGTTTTAGGGCTGCTCAGGGTACTGTGTCGAGGGAGGGTGTTCTGCTTATTGTAGAACTGGCGCTGCTGCCACTCGTAGAGCTGCCACATAGTGTCATCTCTCATGGACCTGCGCTTCTCTTCTGCTCCCGGAGCCAGGCTCTTGTCGTGGGCACCAGGGGCCACACTGCAGATGCTGTCGGGCCTGGTCTTGCTGTTCCTTGGAAGAGTTCTGTAACCTTCAGGATAGCGGGCCAGGACCTGGGCTCTGTGGCTTGGCATGTTTCTGGGTAACGTCTGGTAAGAATTTACTCTAAAATCAAGACCCAAAATTGAAGTGTAAAAACAGTGAAGGAAAAAGTTTCCAAATTCCAATTTAGAGTATATTTCTTTTCTTCTGGTAAGTAAAATACAATATTAGATGTTTCTCAAAAAGACTGACATAAGAGGTATCAACGATTAATATATTACATCCCTTTTCTGAAATGCAATTTGTTGAACTTAATACATTAAATAAGCAACATCTACATCAACTACAGAAAAGTGTATTAGTTTCACACAGTTCATGACTTGGATTAAAGAAGAAGGCATATAAAGAAGGCATATAGTTTTCATATAGATGTATTTCATATAAAAAATAACACCATCTAAAATGTAGTCTGAAGTCTGTCTGGAATCTCAATGGCAGAGTTAAATAAGAGTTCTGGATGAAATGTGGAGTTTGCAAACGGCGCTGGTGGAGCCTAAAGACCGGGAGGGACATGGCCACTCGGTGTACTTCCCCCCTCGGCTGGAGGGGGATCCACAGGACACTAAGGGGGCGAAACGAGATTCTCCCTGCATCATTTTTCCTGACCTGAAAAGCAAAAAGGTATTGAAGCTAAAGTTCAAATTTTTTTATTTAAAGACAAAACACTCAAATGTGACAGTACTCCAGATACAGAAGTCAATCTCAGCAATTTTGAAACGTTTCCGGCATGCTAATCTATCATTAGCACACTGGGGAGGGGGAAGAAGCAATCACGCATGTAAAACATAATCCCTTCACAATGCAAACTGTTTTCTTTTTTCTTTTTGGAATTGGGCATATAGAAATCATTTATCATCAGCTTAAAATTTAATCAAAAATTCAGCTTTTCTCAGACTTATTTATTTGAAAAGTAGAGTTATACAAAGAAATGAAAAAAAAAATAGAGTGGGGAGAGAGAAACAGAGATCATTCTGTTTAGGTGTAGAAGCACAACCCCTCCCTTTCCCAGGTACATTAGCAGGGACCAGGGTCTCAAGCGGGGCAGCCGGAACAGGCGCCCACACAGGATATTAATGTTGCAGCAGATGGCATGACCTACTCTGCCACAGTGCCAATCCCCAGTTTATTGTTATTATTTTTAAAGATTTATTTATTTTTATTGCAAAGTCAGATATGCAGAGAGGAGGAGAGACGGAGGGAAAAGATCTTCTGTCCGATGATTCACTCCCCAAGTGAGTGCAACGGCTGGAGCTGCGCTGATCCAAAACCAGGAGCCAGGAATCTCCTCCAGGTCTCCCACGCAAGTGTGCAGGGTCTCAAGTCTATGGGCCATCTTCTACTGCTTTTCCAGGCCACAAGCAGGGAGCTGGGCGGGAATTGGAGCTGCCAGGATTAGAACTGGCACCCATATGGGATCGTGGCATGTTCAAGGTGAGGACTTTGGCCGCTAGGCTACTATGCCGGGCCCTATTATTCTAATTTTTAAAAAGACACAGATGAATCGATTCTTCATAGTTTTCAAAGCTATCTTTGTACTAATCTCATACTAGGTCAACTATATTTTATGAAAAATGATTTTTTAATAAGTCCATTAGATTTCTAAGTAAAGTTAAATTTTTTGTCACTATTTTCGGAGAAACCTGTAGCTCTACTTTCAATTACAAAAGCAAAAATAACCTTTTCTAAAAAAATAGCAACCATTGTAAAAAAAAAAAAAAAAAGCTAAGTTAAAAGAAGCAAGATTATATTCTAAGTTTTCCATGGGTATAAATTTATATTTTAATACTGAAGTCAATGTGATTCAATGAATCAAAGATGTGGGAAATGTTCCAAACCCCAACATCCTAGGTTCCCTGCCGTCTTTCAGTTAACCACTTTCCCCTTTATTACTGTACTGGCACCATGCAGGCCAAAGCAGGCCATCATGCATGCACAGCTGCGTAGTAGTAGCACCTTGCTGTTTCCTAGTGGGTACTGAAATGTCACACATGTTGGTGAAGACACGGACCAGAGGGGGTCACAAGACTTGAGTGTAAACTGTTACTCTGCCAAACTTTTCATCTTGTGTGGATGCTTGGCTGGTAAGCCAGACATGAGGGTTCTCTTTTATCACAAAGGCTTACTGTCACCTAAGTGCCAGCATATCCCAGCTAAAATAACAGGATAAAACAAGAGTCCTGTTGCGACCAGAGGTAATGAGATGCGTGCATTCTGAGTTACACGGCATGCTGGTAATGCAATCCCTGCACAATCCCAGTCTCTTAAGGCTGTAGAACTGTTACCTTAATGCAAAGGGAACTCTTACATAAAATACACCTTCTCCGTTGTAGGTCACGGCACCCGCAGAGGCTAAACCTGTGAAAACTATAGCAGTAGAGAAGCAAAACAGTAAAGTGGGAAAAACTGGTGAATCAAAAATCGGGAGGACCACGTGCTGACATCTTCATTCCTACCTAGTCCTTAGAGCTAAAATGAACAACATCTCCTGGGACTCTGAGAGAGCTGGTGCTGTTGGGGATAGTGAGCTGAGATGTGGACATCGCAGCCCTACACTGTTGTAATACTTGGGGTTGCAGTCTTCCCAGGCCAGCCAGAATTAAGAATAAAGGTGCTGGTCTCCTACTCAACAAAACAGCACACTTCATTATAACTGTGAGCCTTATACGTATGCATAGAAATTTAAAAAGGGGGGGGGGGCATGGTGCGGCAGCCTAGTAGCCAAAGTCCTCGCCTTGCATGCACAGGGATTCCATATAGGCACCAGTTCTAATCCAGCGGTCCCACTTCCCATCCAGCTCCCTGCTTGTGGCCTGGAAAAGCAGTCGAAGATGGCCCAAAGCCTTGGGACCCTGCACCCGTGTGGGAGACCTAGAAGGGGCTCCGGGGTCTTGGCTTTGGACTGGCACAGCTCCCTGTTGTGGCCATGTGGGGAGAGAATCGTTGGATGGAAGATCTTCCTCTTTGTTCTCTTCTCTGTATATCTGACTTTCCAATGAAAATAAATCTTTTTTTAAAAAAGATTATCTTTAAATGGTTCATGATACTCCCATCCAAGCAATAGGGGGCTCAATTCCATGCAAAGACCCACTGAGTATATCCCCTGGCCCCATCTTGACCTAGCTTGGAACATGAAAGTCAGAATGTGGAGATGCAATGCACCCAGAGCTGGCAACACCACAGCCGTCTGCTCAGGAAGTGTCAGCCGGGACACACACTCCATTCAAGGCTCTCTGCTGTACTATAAATAAATTTACCTTGACACACCTGTTGGAACGGTCATTCATAAATTAAAAAAAAAAAAAAAAGGCTGGAGCCTTGCTATGGAGAGGTCTCTTGCTCAAGAACTGAACTATGTCCTAGAGATGTATTCCTAGGAGAAAAGGACATCACTGTCCATCCGAAGCACACTGACACAACCCATCTGCTGCTGTGTGAACTGCAGCCCAGGAGCCTCCCCGTGCCACACACTTCCGCTAGTGTCCCAGAGCACTCAGAGGGTGGGATGGCTGGTCCCCTTGGGGATAAGGGCTGTCAACCTACTGCCACTTTTCTAGTAAACTTGGTTAATTCATGACTTCAAAGTTTAGCAGCTACTTCTACAGAAATGTAATAGAAAATTAGTTTACTATGACCTAGTAAATTTGTGGTCCATATATTTTCTAACACTGAGAGCTATTAAACAAACAAACAAACAAACAAAAAACAAACCCTACCATTTCTTTCAGTGCTTTCCTCCAAAGAGATTCAAATGAAGCACAGTGTGATTTACTCTTAAGTGAAAGCTTAAGAAACGTGCACTGTAAGCTCCTTCATCAGGTTTAGGGCCCCATTCAGCAGCAGCTGCCTGTCAAAGCCCATGAAAAACCTAGCCCCGTGATTCTGCCAGGCAGAACAATGGCTTAAGGCACCACACATCCTAACAGTAGCTGCACTCACAAAGGAACTTGGAAGCTTTGTCCACGGAGGCAGGGGTCTACTTTTGACTAAATATTAAACCTTCCCTCCCTACCCCATCAGAAGTTTAATAAGAAAACAAAGCCTTTCATCAAGGTTTTAAAAAATGAATTATATTGTGAATTACAATAGGCTTCTTTCACCACCAACAAAAAATATAATTTCCATTACAAAGCATGACAACCATTTTCCTATGATGAAGTTTACATAATAACGCAGCTGATTTAGTTTAATGATGCAAAATGGACTTTAGCCGTTTCTAAAGAAGCAGTAACGAACTGCCTGCCTGTCAGGAGGCTAGGGAAGGAATTCAGAGAGAAAACCTCAGCGTATAGCAAGCTAAGTCCAGTCCCAGGGAGCTGCTGAAAAGCATTCAAGGGGAACAAAGTTGCAGAAAGACTTTACCATATTAATCACACCCATCAACCTCACCCTGCAACTAACATTTTTACCTAATAATGGAAAAAAAAAAAGGAAAGTGAGTGGATTTCTTGAAACTCACTGGATCTCTCCTATACACTCACCAATTAGGAAATGAACAGGGCTGGTGTTGGGCTGCAGTGGGGTGAAGTTACTGCTTGTGATACCTGTAACCCATATGGGGGCCAGTTTGAGTCTTGGTTGCTCCACTTCTTATCCAGTTCCCTGCACCGGAGCCTAGGAAAACCATGTCAGAGGAGCTCAAGTGTTGGGCCCCTACAACCAAAATGGGACACCTGGATGGAGTGTTAGGCTCCTGGATGTTTTCGGCCATTTGGGGAGCCAACCGGTGGGTGAAAGATCCCTCCGCTCTTGCTGTAACTGCATTTAAATAAGTAAATAAATTTATTATGATCAGGTTTTGAAGTGAGTGTGAGAATAGAGAAGAAAGGAGACACAATTGAGACACGGCAGGAGGACGTCTTTGTAGCCCCAAGAGCCAGGTGTTCCTGGGCTTCGAAGTGCACAGAAAGGAGGAAGGACAGCCCAGTGGCAGCTGTCACACGCGCCTGCCACCTCCCCACTTTCACCCAGAAGGCACATTACTCTTTGTTCAATTAAAACAGTGCAATGCCTTTGTTTGCTGGTCTTCTACTCCTGAAGAGTTAAGACTCTCCAACTAATGCTTATGTATTAATTTATTAAAGTACCCTTTTTAAAGAAATGTGGGAGATCGCCCCTAGATCTCTGCCTGTCTGGCGTACGTGGGAGGTAATAGACATGCGGCACACCGTGTCCCCAAGGGAGCCCCCCAACAATGGTTTCAGCTAACCGAGCTACCCATTGTACGGGTCAGCCATTTGCTTCTTAAAATGCAGAACTTCCTCACCCTTAGGTGCTGGCTTTTGTTTTGTCTTCCTTTGCAAGTCCCTGGCTCTTCTCTTTCTATTCTTTCAATACTCTTTCCTTACTAGCTTTCCTCTCATTCAGCCACCTCACTGCATCAATCTATCTACTCTTGCTCTTACCTTTAATTACTTCTGATGTACCGAGTTCAGACCTCTCTGCGGATAGGCTTGGAGGCACCGCAAATGTAACCTGTCCGGTCAACACCTTCTCCTTTTCCCGATCTCCGTGGGTGGAGAAGGTAAACCACCCAGGACCCAGCTGGGAAGCAGGACACCATGCCTGAGACATGGAAGCAACTAGCCTCTTCTTGAATCAATCCCTCTCTTTCTGCCCGTTTCAATCACTCAAGGAACTTTGGAATTTTCCCAACTGAGTCCAGATTGTGCAGCCAGATGGATGTCTCCTGAGACACCAACCCAAAGGCACCTCTCGCAGTGCAGCGCCCTGGCCTGGTGCCTCGTGTGCTTGAGACAGTTTCGCCTGGCTATTCTGGAGCCCAGGCTCCTTTCTCTGCTGTCTCTCAAATCTGGAGCTTTGCATTTCTAAGCCAAGGCACACATGCGATTCCTTAAATCTCAGTTTCTATCTTCTTTCCTCTAAACCAATTTTCCTGAATTCTGAACCTTAAGGGCCACGCTGCTGCCACCTGTTCTTCCTCCACTGTACCTGTCACACTACACTGCAGCTGCTGACTCCAATGCCTCCTCTGTGAGACACGACCTTCGGTAAAACCTCAACTGTTTATTTCCCCTACTGTATGTTGTGTCCCCACAACTAGTACGTAATAGCCACATAATACATACATGAAAAGCAAATGTACACATGAATGAGTAAACACTTAGACAAAATATTTTAAAACTTAGTCATGTATCTTCTAATCTAAACAAAGTGAAATGGGGCCGGCACAGTGGTATAGTAGGTTAAGCCTCTGAAAGTGGTACCAGCATCCAATATGGGTGTTGGTTTGAGTACTGGATGCTTCAGTTCTGATCCAGCTCCCTGCTTGTGGCCTGGGAAAGCAGTGAAGGCTGGTTGAAAGTCTTGGGACCCTGCATCCACAAGGGGAACCTGGAGGAAACCCTGGCTCTTGGTTATGGACTGGCCCAGTTCCAGCCACTGCAGCCATTTGGATAGCGAACAAACGGATGGAAAGATCTCTCTCCTCTCTTTCTACATGTGCCTTTTGAATAAAAATAAGGAAGATCTATTAAAATAAGTAGATATATAAAAGAGTAACCAGACTGGGACCGAGAGGCAGGGAGCAGGAAGGAGGCGCTGTCTCCCACACTGCCTCTCTCGGAATCCCTAGTGCTGTTATCAGGCCATGGAAGCTGCTGGACAAGCGGGGTTGGTGGGGAGGGGGGCCGGGGGGAGGTAGAAGACAACTTCTCATTGGCAAATCACAGTTGAGAATTCCAGAGGAAGACGAAAGCGGCACAATGGACAGGACATGAACAGGACGGATGGGCAAGGTTTGCTCCCAAGTTCATCCCAAACCCGATCTCTACCTACAACCTAGCCGTTCCTTGCACTGGGCCAGGGAGGAGTATGCCATGAGCAAACCTGAGTGGCAGGCAATCCCAGGCAGAGGAAAAAAGACACATCTCCATCACCATGCACAAAAGATAGGCTGAAAAAGCTGTAAGATCTAAAATGATTTAAACCGGTTTTCTAAACAGGTAGCTCAGAAGCCTGTCTCCACCGGCACAATATCAAAGCAAGCCCATAACAAGATACTTACCCCCTGGGTTCTTCCTCAAGACCCCTTCCCTTCTGGATTTTAATCCACTGCTCCAACTGTTGCATTGAATTTGTTCTCTGTAGGACCCGGTCAGTTTCTGTGTGCAGCATCCCTGCGTTTGGGTGAGTGCCACTTCTCAGATCTGCCAGACTCACATTGACTGTTTTGTTCTCTGAACTGTTCACATTGACTGGTCTGTAGTGTGCAGCTGGAGCTGGGCCTGCGGACCCACCATCATATTCAGACGACAGAGAATTCAATTTCACACTATTAATCTTTGTTAGAGGCCTATCTTGACCATCCTTCTGAAATCCGTATTTTTCAGCTTCTAGTGCCTTTTTTTCTTCCATCTTGCTTATTTCCTTGTTTTTTTGGTTGTTTTGGGCCTCTGGTTTAATCAGCACTCTGTGGTTGGGAATGTTATTGATTTCTTTACTTGGTGCAGTTTCAGAGGTAATCTTGTCCACTCTGAAATCACAGAAGAGTATCACAGTAAATCAGATGAAATGATGCACTTACTACTTCTGGGATTCAATCTAGGAAACATGTGGCCTTACTGAAAACAGAAGTGAAAAGTCTGTGAACGGTCACAAAGAATAAGACTGACCAATCCCCAATGCTGTGGTGTCAACATTCAAGCACAGCAAAGCATGTGTTGTGAAGAGAATACAGCATGGAAGGCACTGAAGGACACACAGTAATTATGTGCCCACGCCTTTGGCAATCTGGAGACGCAGCAAGTAAAACTGCTCCTTGACAGTTAAGCCGTAAGCCCACACTGCTGGGACTACTAGCTACTTGCAATAAATGATGTGGCTCTTAGCCAGGAGGGTTAGCTCATCATGACAGAAATGCAAGTCTGGCTGCAGAAATGGTGGCAATAGGAGATTATGGCCTAATGCTATCACAGGTCTGAACCCTAGACTGACTAACTTTATTTGTACTCAAGATGACCCTGATGGTGGTTTTAGAGCTATTGTAGCCAGACTGCCAATGCTCTGCTGAAACTCCAACCTTTTACTAGCTGCAACTTTGGGCAAAGTGCAAAAACTTAAGACACCTCATTTTCCTTTTTGGTAGCTAGGCATAACCCTGGCGCCAAGGTCCAAAGGTTGTTGAGAGAACCAAATTATTTAAGGGACTGGTATAAACCTCTTATCACTCTTATTCCACCTCATTAAGCAATTCTGGATTAGAATGTGGCAGGCACCCCATGTCCACCTGCCCACCGGAAGATCCTGCTAGTTAACAAAGTATGTCTGGGCCACCTGACAGTTTAGTGCTCACCACTCCCTGGTCTCTATTCTGGCCTTTTGGATGAGAATCAGCTTCTGCGAGTGAGCTCATTTTAAGGCTCTGACAAGCATCAGCTGAGCTGCTGTGCCTGTATAAAACTGCAAGATCATGTCACTCTGGGAGGCCACCCGGGAACTGGCCAGCCTTTCACATCTCAAGATCTAACAATGTCCCTCCTACCAGCTCTTGTCTGTGCTACTGCTGCCCATTTTTGTGATATCTGGTAAATACATAATCCCCACAAATATATCTATATTCAAGCATAAATGAAGATTTCTATATAAATATCCACTATCTCTCTGCAAACTGATAATCTGAATAAAGAGTGAAAAGAAATGTGAAAATCATTCTTGGATTGAAACTCTGAACTTGGGGCTGTTGCCATGCTACAAGACTGCAGTGTCAGCATCCGATCTGGGTACCAATCTGAATCCTGGCTGCTCCATTTCCGATCCAGCTCCTTGCTAATGGCCTGTGAAAGCATCAGTGGATGGCTCAAGTCCTTGGGCTCCTGCACCCATATGGGAGACCTGGAGGAAACTCCTGGCTCCATTGTGGCCTTTTGAGGAGTGAATCAGCAGATGGAAAACCTCTCTGCACCCCCACCTCTAAACAAACAAACAAACAAACAAACAACTCAGGACTACCTATATGCTCATTCTTAGGTTAGATATAAATCATAGTTTCTAGTATGAATAGAATACTAGCAATTTTAAAAGTTCACTATGTAGGCCATTACATTTCGTTTCCTGGAAGATAAAAGCCATAGAAAATATCCATTAAAAGCACACTTATCCTTGCTGAATTCTAGAAGAGGGGTAACTAAATGTATGAAAAGATTTTTAAAAACGTAATTACCTTTACTCTATCAAAAGTGATCATGTAAAATTAGAAGAGACTATTTTCTTTTTTCCCAAAGATCTACTGAAGAAATAGAATCCAAGAGGACATACATCATGACTTTTCTTTAAGTGGGACAAAGCTGACTCACAAAAGTACACTAAGATAACACCAATAACCTAACACTTGTGATCTAATTTTTAAAACAGTTGACACTTAAGTCACTGCAAAAAATACAGAGATATGTAAAACAAAAAGCGGCGGGGGGGGAGGGGGCGAACATTGCCCATAGCATGTGTATCACACTTAGCATTTTAAAGTTTTTATTTTAAATTTTAATATTGATTACATAGCTGAAGAGGTTGTAGACCCATTGCACCTCATAGTTTTGATGCTATCAGTGAGGTGCATAGTAGGAGCTTACAGCATTGTAGTTCACAGACGTATTTCAAGAATTTTGATGAAGCAAAATTTTAATGAAGTTAACAATGGAATGTTTCATCTGTGAGGTAATTATTCTGATACATATTCTAAATATTTTGGCTACAAAGCAAAGGCAGTTCATTATCTTAAAACTAGACAGATATGCTCAGACGTAAGATATATTACAATTAGATACCTTCATGATGAATTATTACACTTAAAATGGCAGGTGTAAAAATGCCAACAACTGAGCCTGGCGTGGTAGCCTAGCAGTTAAGCACCTCGCCTTGAAAGCCCTGGGATCCTATATGGGTACCAGTTCTAATCATGGCAGCCTCGCTTCCCATCCAGCTCCCTGCTTGTGGTCTGAGAAAATAGTCGAGGACTGCCAAACCTTGGGACCCTGTACCCACACTGGAGCCTCGGAAGAGGCTCCGGGTTCCTGGCTTTGGATTGGCTCAGTTCCAGCCATTGCGGCCGCTTGGATTGTGAACCAACGGATGGAAGATCTTCCTGTCTGTCTCTCCTCCTTTCTGTATATCTGCTTTTCCAATAAAAGTAAATAAATCTTAAAAAAAAAAAAAAGCCAACATCTGGAAGTAGGAGAAATGATGTTATTTCCAAAGGAAAGTACTAATTCAGATCGGACACACAGCGATGCTCAGCAGTTCCTGGCTGACTGAGCCAATTTCCCAACACAATTGGCTGAAAAGGAGGAAAGGCCCATAATTAGACTAGATTGTAAGAAGCACAAAAATAAATAAGTAAATAATAAAACAAAAAACTCCAACAACAAAAAAACCCAAATCCCAACATCCATCTGTAGCACTCAAAATTATGAGAATTCTGAGTTTTAAGAGTGCTAACATAATAAAGAATAAATAGAAATGAGTTAAAAATTTGGGGAAAAGTGTATAACAGATGATTACAATGATTTGGAAACTCAGATATTCCAATTATATTGACTTCCATATCCTAAAAGATTCCTTGAAAACTTTCTAATACATGTAGAGTTATTGAAGATTTTAAATGAAATTTTCACCTATACATTCTCTTCAGTTTTTTACTGCTTACAACCTCACTTTTACACCCTCTCAGGCAATTTTTACACCTGGACTTCCAGAAACAGGTTTTCTTTCTTTTGGTTCTCGGACTAGAACCTGTACAGGCGAAGGTGGTTTTCCCTGGAAGTCAGTGTTCAGAGCTCCATCCTAGTCCCTTGCTCTTTGCACATTTTCCCTAATGTCAAATTAGCAGAGAGGCTAACTTGATTTGGACTTAGTATTTACAAACCGTAGGAATACATAGTGTCAACTTAAGTCTTCTTGGTCAACACACACACACACACACAATCACCATTGATAATGTTAACAATCCCCTAATTTCCTAAGGCGAGGGAAAGGGCCAAAGCCACATGTTGGCATTCACCTTAGGTAAAATATATACATAACTGTCGCCAACAGGCGACAAGAGCTAACTGTGTTATAACTTCACCTTCAAATTACAGAAAAATATATTTTAAATAGTACTCAACTTTTAGTTAAACTTTGAGAAATTATATCTTTTGTTTGTTCATAATATAATGGAAGAGTAATAAAATGACAATATTTTCAAGCAGGGGAAAAAAAAATCACAGATACGTTTTTAGAATATCTATACCAGGCAATCCCAATACAAAGGCTGAAGAAAAAAAGACACAATTTCTAAGTTGTGGATAAATTTAGAAACCATTTAAATGCCTGCAGAACTATTTCTGAATTCATTTACAAAAATAAACCAGAAAATGCCAAAGAAATAAAACTCATCAAAATGTTACTGTGATTTACTAAATTTCAAAAATATCAACAAGCTATAAAAATACAAGTAAATTAACTCTGAAAAATAAAAGCAACTAAATTATGAAAGTAGAGGATAAGATTTAGGATCTTAAAAAACATTCTCTCGTAGTCTGTAAATCCGCATAGCTTTAAGATAACAAGTTAAAATGTACTCACCGGAAGTTAAAGGTAATTCTGTAAGAAGAAAGAACATTCAGTTTGTATGTTAGGATTCTAGAGTCATTTCAGCTTGCTGATAAGTGAAAATGAATAAAGAAGACAGGTGGAATAAAATGTAGGCGGTATCCCAAACTGACAAGTTAACATTAATTTAACAGACAAAATGAATGAATGAATCCTTGCTTTCTGACGAAAAAAAAAAAAATTCCATGTCATGACTGTGACCGTGCTATGGACCATGGCAATGGTGTGCCTGCCAGACAATGGGGAGCAATGAAAAGTGGCAGTCGGGGTACTCTCCCCCACCGGTCTTTACCTTTTCACAGGTTCTGTCTGCACCAGGGCAGCATCTAACATGGCCTTCATCCACAACTCCATTTCCTTTCCTGTATCAGTGCAGAAATAATAGGTCCGCATGTTTGGGTGGGCAGCCTGATTGAAAATGACATGATCATTTTAAATAAAAATATGGGATTCTGTAAAAGAAAAAGAAGAAGAAGAAAAAAAAAAAAAAGGTAAGAAGTCCCTTATACAGATCTTATTGTCAACTTTCAAAGAAAGCAGACCCGTATTTCATGTAAGAAACGGAAATGACTTCAAGGAACAATCTACTGTATTAAGAGAATTCTATGCTTTCTTTTTATTGTCTTCCTTTTTCTCTAAAATGTGTGAGAAGCGGAACTGTAGTGGTACTGTGCCATGTATGCACCTCCTGCAGTTCATACATCGTTACTCAAGAGCAACCAGCAACAAATTAACTGCATGCACGTGTCATAGCATTTCCCTCTTGTGTTAAGTTCCTCAGTCCTCAAATGGTGCTGTATTAAAGCGTTCGATAGAATCCTTATGCACAGTCATGTACGAAAATAAGATTTATAAATGATCCAAAATGGCTTTTTCTTTTAGGTTTTCAGGTTTCAGGGTTGGGGGGTAAGCATTTTGGTTTCAAGAGGCAGAAGGTTTCTGTAACTCGTAAGCAGGCTTCCTCTTGATGGTGTGACAGTCTGCCTCTGTCTGGGAAACAGAAGGAAGCAGAGCAGACACTGCACATTGACCACTACACCAGGAGCAAGCCCCAGCTTCCTCCTCTTAGCTTCTGGTCCATCAGCGCAGAGATGGTAACAGCGGCAGGTATATTAGGGCAGGAAAAACAGGGGAGAAATTCTTAACTTCCACTGAGAAATGAGTTTGTGACAATTTCTTATTATATTCTCAAAGATAAAAAATATATATAAGCAATGATTATTTCAGGGGAGTGTGAGTAAAGGGAAAGAATCCTAAGCATGTAGTTAGTACACACTACGTATGAAAAGATGGGAGAAATGCATCTGGAAGCACACACTTGAACCCCAGATCTTGACAATTTGCTGTATCTATGATGTCAAATGAGCTTCTTTACGGTCTTTTTTAATATATACAAAAATTCAGTAAGCACAATCATATCATCACATAACCAATGAACCTGACTGAACTACAGAAAAGACAACTGGAAGAGAACAACTCCAAGGATACAGTCCAAACCCTATGTTGCTGGAAGTGCAATTGGGACTCTCCGAATGAGATTGTGGAAGAAATGAGTAAAGACAACTGTCCACCCTTTCCAACCCCGGAAGGAATGCTGGACTGGAGATCATGAGAGCTAGTTCTCCCACGGCACTGACAAATGTCTCTTACTTGTGTGTCAAACGGAAATAGGAACTCATTATGTTACGGTACTCACGTAGTGCTAAGTTGTACATTTGTGTTCTACAACCATCACCGTAGTTTCCACTTACCATTTCCATAAGCCGGAAGCATCAATGTCAGCAGATTTAGTAGTAAGGCAGCTCAAAAATTCAAAGGAAGAACACCAAAGAAGAAAGAATTTGGAATAGCAGTTACTATTCTAGTAATAACTGAAATTGAGTGAATGCAATAATTACAGAGAAAAGATAGTTAAAATACACATTTTTAATATTCTAGCATTTCCCACCTCAGTTTAAGAACCCAGTACAAGGTGCTACAAATAGTACAAATTCAAAAGGCAATGGCTAAATTGAGAAGCAAACAAAAACCGCTTATGTCTATGGCCAAATAATTGCGGTAATACCACACAGTTCTACATGTATTGCTTTACAAAGCCATTCTTTTTTTTTTTTTTTTAAGTTTTCAGTATTGGATTTTGTTACAATATCTTAAAATATTTATTCTGTTCTTCTGGTTTAAACCACTGATCAAGCTTGATAAAATCTACTTAAATACGAAGTTATTCTTCTAGCATGCCAAATCATTGCTCAGAGTCGAGCTGTCGGTGACATCACTACCTAACCTCACCACCAAACCTTCCTATTCTTTCATCTCCACAGATAATAATGTAACACAGGCAGTTACGAAGTTGCAAATCAGCCTTAGTGCTGAGCATTCTTGTAAAAGCGGATGGGAATTTGAAATTGAATCAGTTTTGCAAGGGTATAAACATTTTTGCCGGGAGGATACTGCTAGCCATGGGTCGGTTCTCGTGTCTGCTTGGACTTAATAATGGACTCAGGGTCTCACCTGCAAACACCCTCTACAAAGAACCTGGCCATCAGGATCTGCTTTGACCTAAGAATATCTGTATGTAAACACACAGTATGTTGGAAATATGGTTCTTGTCTCTTCCAGTATTCTTTACCCAATTTAGTATGGAAAACCTCAGTAGTATGGAGTACAACTGAAGGAATAGTGCAATGATTGCCCGGCCATCCACACCTGCACTAGGCAAACATGAGCATTTTTTTTTAATGATGTTTACAGAGTTGAGAAAGATGTATGCCCATGTGGATCACCAATTAGGGTGTGACGGATTGAGGATTGTACCTGGGGGCAGGGGGAAACTACACACAGTATTCTAACTGCATCAGTACCCAGGAAATAGGAGTATCTGGACACATTCGCTTTGGGGACAACCCTCTAAGAGCATGCATATGAAGACGTGTGACCTCTAGTCTTATAGCATGTGCTTCCCGACAGTATCCTACACAACCCTAAGATGCCTAATTTTAAATATAAATCAATGCAATCCAAACACCTAAATACCTTCCTGCAATAACTGGTGGACCAATATCTGCTTTGAAAACAAGGCAAGCGTCAAGCACACAATTCCCTTACCTTAAAAGCATATTTCCGATTAATGTGATCCTCGGAGGTAAGCAACGCTATCTGAAAGCTAGGCAATAGGATGCTTCCCAGGATGCCTTCTTCCTTCTCATCTGAGGGAACATCGAGCATATGGTTAGAAAGGTCCGTGGTCTCATCCTCCTTTGCCTTCCCAGGCCTTTAGTAGGGAGCTGGATTGGGAGTGGAGCAGCTGGGAGACTAATCATGAGATGGCGGCACTGCAGGTGGAAGATTAGCCTGCGGTCTCTGTGCCAGTCCCCCACACCTCCAGGAGATTTTTCTGTCGGCTATCATCTTATTCTCGACCATCATTTTCTGTGGAGTAATGTCTCCTAGCTAGTTTTCTCTGTTCTCTTACTTCTCCTCTACAACCAGCTTGAGGGAGCTCTGAGAGCCTCAAGTCAAAGCATATCACTTCTATGCTTAAATATTGTTTCCTCACAAAATACGTATTAGAATCCATGCATGGACAGAGTACTATGTGGTCTCATGTTCACTTCCCACATTCCTTCCCTCCTGCCGGCCAGCCCAGTCTTGGTTCCTCTGGGTACTTGCATTGTTCTAAACACTTTCCCCACCATACAGTCTTTGGGCCAGTCAATCTCCCTGCTGGCAACCCGCCCCACCACCGCCCCCATGATCTTCCTTCTCACTTGGATCCTAATGTGTAAAGCACCTACTGGAAGCCCTAACCCATGCAGGAGTTTCTCTCACTGTCCCCTTTCACATGGAGGCCTTAGTGTTCTAGAGTTGAGTTTCATGACCTTTTTTTTTTATTTCTGCATGTTTATTGCCTCTGATTGTTCTAAAATCTACATTTCATGAGAGATACCTTATATGGCTGTTGTGATTGCACCTGGAACAAAGAGGGTCCTATCAGTGAGTTAAGCGCCAGAGTATGACTTGTCCATAGACTGGCTACACAGCACTCTAACCCAGGGAGAGTGGACCCTATAACAATGGGTTCACAATGCGCCTGCTGTATGGCAAGGGACAGTTTGAACTTGGACTTCCATCTGGTACGGCTTGCTAATCTACCACACAAAGGAAGCCAATCACTTACCTTCTCTCTTATTTTCTGTTTCTGTCAAACATGAACAAATCTGCCAAAAACTTCTGACAGCACACTCTGTATGTCAATAGACTAGATTGTAGGTTGGTAGACTAGACGCATTGAGAGGCAGAGAGGGATGAATAGGGCCCCTGTCCTCCACATACAAGGGAAGAGGCTGTCAGGCCAGGGGCAAGAAGTCGAGAGGACAGTGATTTACGGTACCAGTTCTGGGGCCAGTGTGCCTCAGCTTGGCTCTGTTCCTGCCAGTTCTGAGGCTGGTGGCAAACTGCATGATCTCTCAGTGTTAGTCTAATGCAAAGTGGGCATAATCGGATTTCCCACTGTATGGTTTGAGATTTAGATGAATTTAATCGTTTAGGTAACATGCTCAGCAAACAAAATATACATTACATATATACACATATTTATATACCTAGAAGCTAGAATGTGATATTTATGTAAAATTTAACATTTCATAATAATAAAGAAAAATCTGTAGATGAGTTAAAAAAAATTTTTTTTTAATTGGAAAGGTAGATTTACAGAGAGAAGGAAAGACAGTGAGAAAGATCTTCTGCTGGTTCACTCCCCAAGTGGCCACAGTGGCAGGAGCCGAGCTGATCCAAACCAGGAACCAGGAACTTCCCCCAGGACTCCCCATGCGGGTGTAGGGTCCCAAGGCTTTGGCCCGACTTCTGCTTTCTCAGGCCACAAGCAGGGGGCTGGATGGGAAGCAGAGCATCTGTCTCTGTGTATATGGGATCCCGGTGGGTGAAAGGTGAGGATTTAGCCACTAGGCTATCATGCCAGACCCAGTTGATTTTCTACGATATTAAATGACCAGGTTAGGCTGGCCCTGTGGCATAAGGGAATTAGGCCACTGCCTGCAATAACAGATCCCACATGGAGGAGTCAGTTCAAGATCGGGCTGCTTCACTTCCGATCCAGCTCCTTGTGAATACTTGCAGGAAAGCAGCAGCGAACGGACTGGGAACTTGAATTCCTGCACCAACGTAGGAGATCTGGGCGGAGTTCTTGACCTTCTCCACGCGTCAGCCCTGACCATCACAGCCATTTAGGGAGTGAATCGACAGATATGAAAGTTCTATCTTTGCCTCTGCTTATCACTATGCCTTTTAAGTAAATGATCTAAATCTGAAAAACTGATGGAAACTAGAATTAAGAGACAGATTTGTAAAAGCAATGATGAGCAACAACAAACTAGAAGGAATTTAGTTTCCTTCTTGAATGTAAAGACATTCTGATATTAGAAATGGTAAAAATTTCTTGTTTTAAGTTAAAATTGTATGGTCTATATAAATATACTGGAAAAGAATGGAAAGTAAAAATTACAAGTTAGGGATAATGATTTCTGAGATACAACTTCAAATCTTCTAAAAGACTGGGAAAACTTTAAGGGAAAATTGTAGTTTACATTTGGCACTTAACTCCAGATAAATGCCACAATTACAGCCTAAACAATATCTCTGTGGCAAAAGGAAATTTTATAGGTTCGGTTAATTCTGACTCAGCAACTTCTCAACCACAGTTAGCAGGGGAATAAAAAGATGAAAACATTTCTGGTAAATCCAAATTTAAAGGTTTGTGTGCATTGCATTGCTTCAACAGATGACCACAGAAGCTGTTGTGCCACGCTTGTGTAATCACAAGCAAAACTAAAAGTACTTGTCAGTTCTAAAACTCTCTGTGGTATCCTGTATGTTGCACTGCTGAAGGAAAATCACAGATAACGAATTCCTATGGGTCGATAATCCAGACCTTTCACAAGAGAAACACCTTCCTCCCTCCCTTTATCCCGACTTCTTCCTTCCTCCGTTCCTCCCTTCCTCTCTTTCAACATTTATTTCCTTTTCCAATAGCAGCCAGGCCACAGCCAGGGGCCAGAACACCATCCTGGTCTCTCACATGGGTGGCAGGTGCCCAGGCCACTTTGAAACACCTCTTGTTGCTTTGCCAGGCACCTTAGCAAGGAGGTGGATCAGAAGCGGGTGTGCAGGATTTGAACTGGTGTTCCAACACAGGAAGCTAGTGCTGCATCAGTTCAGCATGCCGTGCCACAGTGTAGGCCCCCGGTGGGCTCCTGACCAAACCCGGAAGGAGGCGAGTACGAGACACTATCCAGACTTGTGATCTGTTATACAGCAGAAGCAGATTTCACACAACTCCACTCAGGGATGTCTTTGCTAACAGGTGTCAACAGGTGTCTGGAACTTTCCTTACAACTTTGCTAATCTGTAGTTCAATAATCAGAAAAAAATGGAGTTTATAATAAGCACAAGGAAGGCAAAGACTCAATTTCATACCTAAAACTACAACTGTACCTTCTCCCTAGCACACTCCCAGCCTGGGAGGCACTCCTATCATAACATTCTCCAACGGCTAAAGGAAGCACGTTTCTCTGTAATATTTCTCTGTCTGATTCTCTAAATCCTTTTGCTGGGGAGCAGAATGGAACATTGTAGGAACCCACAAATTTGACAACCCTGACTTGTGAAAAGGGCCACACCAAACTGAGGATTTCAATTAGACAGTAAGCTTCAGGATGACCTGACAGCACAAACATTCATTGAGTCTTTCTTCACTCAAAACAAATTAAAGTACTGAATCTGGACTAAATCCCTGATTTACTAGTGTGAAGCACTGTATGATCCTCCTACATATCAAAGTGACACAGAATGGTATGTCGGCAAAGGAAGATCTTCTCAGGTAGCACAAGCTGGAAAGTGTTTTTCTTAAGCAAAAAGAAAAAAAAAAAAGTCCCCTACTTAACACTGATGGTAAACTCACCTCTATAATAAAAGAGGCAAAGATCAGACAGCACAAACCAGCGTTTCTTCCACAGCTTCATGCCAGTACTGTCCTGCATGAAACCAGCATATTTAGGATAGCTTTCATTTTAGGCAATTAAACCCCACTTTTGTCATATTTACTTAAAACAAACTTTCAAAGCAATTCACTTGATACACAAAGTATCTACAAAAACTCACTGAAAAAAGAGAATCATAAGCTTAGTTTATTTTAGCACATAAACACCTAAGATCCAGGCAAAGATTTCATAATATGCTCTTGCCACGAACTTTTTGGAAGACCTGTCACCCCACTGATACGTATAATGTAACTAAAGCATCAAACCAAATTTTAGGGCACTACGTTTCAGTTAGAGAAAACTACTGCACAGTAAGGTGATTACAACAAATGTAGAACATACTCTGAATAGAGATATGCTTAACCTGATTTGAACATTACACACTATATATGTATCTGAACATCACATGGTATTCCTTAAGTGCTCAGAGTTTGTAGGTGTCAACTGGAAAACAAACAAACAACAACAACAACAAAAACCCTGAGAGTGAGTTTTCCAGGGACTTGTAATCAGAAATTCACTCTTCTGCATTCCTGTCTCATCTTTAATGGAAGACGAACGTATGAAGTGGATTTAATGTGAAGTAAAAGGATGTGAATAAGGCAGCTATTTCATAAGAATAAAATCTATAAACAGCTTTTCCTCTTCATAAGGTCTATGGTCTGGGCTTGCTTGGCCCATTGGCTGAATAACAGGGAGTTCTTGACTGTGATTTATAAGTAATTTAGCTATAGAATATCAGGCTCAAGAAAAATTACAAGCATAATTATTTACCACATGCAGTATGGCAAAACATCAAGAGAAAATTAAATACAGATATCAACAACAAAAAAAGTAAGCAATAGACTGGTTTGTATGTGCATTAATATTTCTAATTTATTGCTAGTTGCAACAACAGCTAACAGTGACTTTTGAACTACATAAATGAATACAAGTACATCTCCGGAAGTCAAAGATCTAAGTTAAAATTAAAAGCTATTGCAACTATGGAATAAAAAATTAAAATTAAAAAAAAAAAAGAACCAACACTAAACATTTTCCATTTCTCAATTATCTATCTATCTATCTATCTATCTATCTATCTATCTATCTATCTATCAATGTAGATAAGGAGCCTTGAAAGCAAATATTTTAAGAGATATGACACATAACGGGCAACACTTCTTTACCATTAAACGAATCATGAGCTCAACACGATGAGGAACTGTTTTCAATAAGGAGTGCCATATCATCTGTCAGGCTCAATGCTGCACCTAACTACTTGAACATAACAGTCCTTGTTAAACTAAATGAACAAACATCTGTAAGCTTGGATAACTTTAACTGTCTAATGATCAAAATGCAGTCAAATATCTGTAACAATTAAAACTTAGCAATAAACTTAAATACCCAATTAACTCAGTGAGAAACTTGCAAAATCAATTTGCTTGACTGATTTTCTATTTCCTGGATTTTAAGATGGTCTAGATACCAACTGATTTTCAAAGAATTTTTTTTTTCTAATGATTACTGCCTAGCAAATTCACTATGAGTTTTAGTGAATAAAAACCGTCTGATCATCTGAAAATGATTAGCAATATTTAATAGACCAGCAACACCAATTAACTAACTTGTTGTGTATCATTATAAACAATCAAGATGGCCTAAGGCCTTGGGTGTTGAACCTGTTATCTCAATTACCTGCAAGTGCACTTCTATTTGAAACAAAGTGGCAAATCAGTATGCAAAGAACTGATACTAAGAAATAAAATGATGTTCAAGTCCAAGGTGACAGGTGCCTAAGTCCTCCCCAAGTTTTCCAAATAATACAACATAAACCTCAGTATGTCCAGGTGTCTGAGAGCGAACTTATCTGAGCAAGTCGCTACAAAAGAACGAATAAAGAAAAACTACTAAGGAAAAAAAGCATGAAATTTTAAGGAGGAAAGAATGATCTGAATATAGAAGTATAGAAGCCAAAGTTAGGTTTTAAAAAAAATCGGAAAAAAAAAAATGTCAAATCGTCCTCGGTTTTCTCTGTAATAAAGGAAGGGAAGTATATAATTGTACATTTCTCTAATGATTGTTATTTCAACAGAAAAATGAATGATATCCTTATATTTATTTCAGTCTTGACATTTAAAAACTATTCCAGCCCGGATAATTTTAGGATGCTATTCCTTTCTGACAGCATACATTAATTTTAATACCTATATTTAATTTCACCCACATCCGCACGGCATATATTTAAATTTAAATCTAGAAATACCTATAACCCACAGGCAAAAGAGTCTCTGATATTTGCATCTTTTATGTTCCCTTTGATATTTTGGGGGGGAATAAACAGTTCCAAAAAGTGTGGTGACTGACTGCAGTCCCTTCTCCATTTATATAATTGTCTTAGGAACATTCACCCCCAAAGGTCCATTCCGATTCTACCGAACAAGAAGAAAGCATACCTGTTTATAAAGCCAGCCGCGTCTGACCACAGGTGCGTTAGGGTTCCTTTTAATTGAATTTGACCTCTTTCCAAAATTATGAACTTTTTTTGAGGCCCGTGATGTCTAAATAGGAATAAAGCACGATAGGAAATGTGGTATTAACAACCAGAGAGTTGAACTTTTTCTTTCAATCTTTACTCTTTTAATCTAATTTCAGATTTCTCTGAGATTTGCAGGGTTTAAAATCCTGATAAATGTAAGTTATTTTCATTCTTCCCTTGTTGTTTTAGTTTTTTCAAGAGTAAGAATTCTGCATAAAGAGGTTGCCTCCCCCATATATTATGAAAGGGTGAAAATTTTACAATCTCTCCTTTAAGTTTGAAAATACAACTTTTAAAGACACACTAGGCAGCAATATTGCATCCTACCTGCTATATAAAGCAACTGGGCTGGTCGAGGAAAAATTGACACATTTTTAGAAAATAAACTAAAGCAGTGAACATCCTGCGCCATTATCTGGGTTTGATGGCGTTGTTTCAATCACAGAAAAGTTAAAAAGATGAGAAATATTCAGATGTAAGTTATAAACAAACATATCACATCAAGTCAAAACAAGACAAGAAGGAGCCACTTCCTGTCAAACAATGTTCTCATCTTTGCAGACAACTCTGAACTTGAATGATACCAGACAGATGGCGTGGGCTCCGGAAAGTACACACTGGAATATATAATCTTCAAAAACAGCCGTGTTCAGCATGTACACGGGCAGCAGTAACCGACAACCAGTGAAACTGCACGTGGTCCTCTTTGTAAATTAAAAAGTAAGTAACAACAAGTGAGCTGCAACTTCTCAGCTCACCTGTCCTCTCTGGGAATCCAGCACCCTTTGTTACAATTCTGTTTGGTGAGGCTTTTATTAGTCCACAGTAGAAGTTTTATTGATAACACATTTCCTAAAGCATGCTAATTTGCTTTCAAATGTAATATTACAGTACAATATAAAACTCGATGGAACACAGAGATACACACATCCTGGCCTGTCTGGCTAACGGGGCTGCTGGCGCGCTGTGTGTCCTATACAGCCAGGGACACACTGACACAGGGCGGAGGCGGCGGCATCTCTGTCTCCTCAGGCCGCTGGCGATGCCCATGTTCCACCCCGCTCTGCTGAGTCACTCAACACTCTTGCCAGTGAAACGTTCTATGCTGGCTTCTTGACCCCTACAAATCTGACAGTGCCTTTTCCTGATTTTAATGAGCATTTTTGCATATTATAAACGAGATGGTGCACCACTGCTATGTTTAAGGGTAAATTCTATTTTCTTTTGTGGAAACTAATAGACATAAAATTTGCCCATTTTAAACTGTCAGTCTGTTTCTTATTGTTGAAAAGCGGTTCTTTAATTATAAGAGAATTATCTTTGTTATGATTAAGTTTCAGATATTCCATATGATAATAACTATAGGTGGTTGAATTTTTCACTATTTCATCTTATCTGGATTCAAGCTTATTGTTTTTTTTTTAATCTCCTGTATTGTTTTAGTCAGTTCTTTTGAGGATCTCCAAAACAGATCCATCTGGAAAGTATCTGGCATAAACTGTGTGGCCCTGGTCCAGACACAGTCCTTTCCAGACACTGGCCTGCTGGCTTCCAACCCATTTATCATTTCTGAAGATTTTAATTAAAGTCTGCTAATGAGGCATTAGGCTCAGTTATCCTATTGGCTTTTTCATATTTAGAAATTTCCTTTCACAATTTGAAAATTTATATTTCCTTGCAAGAGCCTACACAATTTTATTTTAAACACCATAAGGCACTTTTTATCTAGAATTTCTTTATCACAAATATAATTTGATTAATGATTACAATTGTTTTACTTCTACAAAATATAAAATCTATACATTTTATAACTACCACATTTAAAAATTTATTTATTTGGAAAGGCATTTATACAAGAAAGGAGGAGAGACAGAGAGGAAGATCTTCTGTCCGCTAATTCACTCTGCAAGTGGCTACAACGGCTGGAGCTGAATCAACCCGAAGCCAGGAGCCAGGAGCTGCTCCCGTGTGGGTGCAGGATCCTAAGGCTCTGGGCTGTCCTCGATTGCTTCCCCAGGCCATAAGCAGGGAGCTGGATGGGAAGTGGGGCTACTGGGATTAGAACCAGTGTCCATATGGGATCTCGGTGCATTCAAGGTAAGGACTTTAGCCACTACACTATCACTTCAGGCCCTGAGTAATTATTTTAAAAGATAGACAAAATGAGTCAGTGTTGTGGTGTAACAGGTTCAGACACCACCTGCAGTGCCACCATCCCATGTACTCTACCGCATTTATCTTCCTTTTAAAACTTAAGTTGAGAGCCCAACGTGGTAACCTAGTGGCTGAAGTCCTCACCTTGCACGTGCCAGGATCCCATATGGGAACCTGTTCTAAACCTGCATCCAGCTCCCTGCTTGTGGCCTGGGAAAGCAGTGGAAGACATCCAAAGCCTTGGGACCCTGCACCTATGTGGGAGACCCAGAAGAGGTTCTTGACTCCTGGCTTTGGATCAGCGAAGCTCCAGCCGTTACGGCCACTTGGGGAATGTATCATCGAACGGAAGATCTTCCTCTCTGTCTCTTCTCTCTCTGTGTATCTGCCTTTTCAATAAAAATCAATAAATATATATAACTTTAAAAAGTTTATTCAAAAAAGTAATCACTTTCTCACAAAACTCCAATTATTTATAAAATTATTCAAATCTGAAACCAGTCTTTAAAAAGCTATCAAATTTTAAAAAGTCATCAAATTATAATTATACCATGTTATATTGTTAGCTGGTGCTTTTATATAAAATACTTCCAATATAGTTAAAAAATCATTTAATGATAACAGCAAAAATTGATATTGTATAATTGATTCTAATTTCAGGATGAAGAACGCTAATGCATTTTGACTTTTGTGTATCAATGATTACCAATAAGCAAAATAACTCACCCTGCCTACAGGGCTCATTGGATGGACTGCATAATCGGAAGTCATGCTATAGTTGGAAGCTTCATTTATCATACTTATCGGTCGTTCCTTCTTTTCTTCAGCCGTCATGGTTGCAACAGCCCTAAAAATAAGACATATCAAAATGCCAGAATGTAAGGCACATTGCTGCAGAGCTGGTGTCCTACATTTTTAAGACAGTTGGATACTGTTGACTCTAGAGTAATAGTTAATAATTAAATCTACTTTAAATGTCATTAAAACTTTTCCTAAGCCTAGCATAAATTAAAATTCATGCTTGTTTTAATAGGCATTACTACAGATATTCTTCTTGGTCATCTAACCAGAAAATTGAAAATGAATCACAAAAGTTAATATTAAAAACAACAGCACAGATATCAATAACAGTATCTGTGAACAGCTGAGCTTCTCACACGTTTCATTTGCTGCTTATAAAAACCCTGGGAAATGGCAATTAACATGATCCCAAATGTAAAAATGAGAAGACTGAGCTCAAATTAGTTTTCATAATCTTATCAAAGTTTACAGATTCTCTGACTGCATCCTGGGCTTTTCAGTTTACTTCCTAAGTTTGAACCTTTGTAAAGAAACAAACAAACAAAAAAAGATTCTGAAATTATATGCCATCTTAAAGTTGTGTTTCACTCTCAAACACAGTGAGCAGCTGGTATTCTTTACACTTGACTGCAAACGCCCATGCAAGAAAGCTGTTCAACTGCGCTGGTTTTATGAGACACAGATGAGAGCGGTCCCAGTGTTAACCCCAACCCAAAGACCAGCATTACAAGAGTCTTCACTTACTGTTCATTCACTACAAAAATGCAATTGTCCTGCGATGGCTGTCCTGTGACTGGATGCTTGCAGGTCACTTTCCGTTCATTGTGACTGAAAGAAGAGAAAAAGAATATGTAGTTCTTTTACCACAACTGTCTTTTGAATATTTGGGTAGCAAAAAAATGCCCATTTTTTCAAAATAAAATTCTAACACAGTTACTGAGCAAAGGAGATGAAATTGTCAAGCTGAGCCCTTCTTGGGATGACCTACAGCTTTTCTTTTCAGTATTTTATAAGCAAAAGTTAAGATGACCAGGCTCAAATACACTGTATTTTGCATCATGGATGAAGACTTGCTGTCAAATTCATAAACTGAGGAAAAAACTTACGCAGATCCCCACACATGAAATAAATTCTTAAAAGCCACTGGAAGAACAATAATTGATGTCTCTGTTTCATAATACAATGTTTATATCAGTAATGTAACAGGATTGATTTTTGTACACTTGAAGCTGCTATGCAGCAAGATGGAATCTGCTGCAGAAAAACGGGGGTAAGTCGATGAAATGCAGAAACAGAAATAAAGCAAAATCTACTTGTTGTGCTTACTCAAAAAACAACGTTCTGAATTAAAGTGTGACTCATTTTTTGTATGAAAGAACTTTGAAAAATATTGTTCTTTCTAGAATGTTAAATTGATTGTTCTTTTTGAATGTCAAAATTAGATTTCCTACTGTTTTTGTGAAACGAGAAAAAAAAAAACCCATTTATATTGAAGCCAAAAAACACTAGGCAACTGAAATAATGTGATATACATTGATATATTAAATAATATATATTTAAACTTGTTAACATTTTTCCATCAGATCAAAAAGTATGAAGCAACTTCTAGGAGTTACTCTTCAAAGATTATGAAACCACTGTGCTTTGTGAAACGTCTAAACACAACTGCAAAGTTTTGGTAAGCTTTACATAATTATTTTTCTAATTCCTAACTTTAATGATCAGATTTTTATTGTTAATTCAATATTCTGAAATTACATTCATGAAACAAAATGAAAGTTGTGTAAAAGGTATAGGTTTTTCAAAAATATTTCAGATGTTGTAATCCTAGAATGATCAGTAGGATTCAGCATACTGTTACTGTTTAAATTGCTCCATCAAGGAAACCTAGAGCACTACTGGATTACTAGATAGATTCAACAGGTGTGACATCGCTGAGTGGAGGGACATGTGGTGTCACATAGAAAGCATGAAGGTGGCCTTCTTACCCAGGTATTAAATACATATGTACAACAGCACAAACTCAAGATGTCAGCCATGGGATGTGAATGATAGAACAATACAATTGGTAACAGAACATTTGTGATCAATATGGCCTCTGGAGGTAAGTGGAGAAAATAAAGTCCTTATGCATAATGAAAACCCCACATGTGTCAATCCTGAAATTTCCATACTAAGGGGTATGGGGCAAGGTCATCTGTGACAAGGATTAGACGTCTTAATGCAATAGAGGATATGCTCTTTTAAAGCCTCTTCTGGCAAAACACATTAAAAAAAAAAAAATCAGCTGAAAGATAGAGCAGAAATACACACTTTTTTTCCCCCTAAAAATCAATATTGAATCGATCACTGGAGACTTGGTAAAAGAATGGTAACATTAGATGTTACATAAAGAGCATCAGAATACACACGGGTTAACTAGTTTCAATGGCTTACGGAACAGCTTATGGAATTATAGCCTGCAACAATTCGGGATGCATTTCAAGACAGAAAAAACTGAAGTTTCCAAATACACAGAAAATGAAAATTATGCAATATTTACAAGGAATCAAATTATTGTACTGTACCCACAATTACATAAAAATATTATGTCAATTAAAAAAACCCAATATTGCAAAAAGAAAAATGGTCTATTGCATTAACTCCTTATGCTGTGTGTTGTGTGTGTGTTTGCTTGAGAGGAATAATCCAAATATTTTTGAAGGTATAAATTATGACAACGGGACTTTTGGGGTCACAGTGTTAGGGTACTGCTGTGACCGACTCTAAAGTAAATGGATTTGAGAACCTATTATGTAAGGATGCAGGGCAATACACAAATTTAAATAATACATGGATAAAAAGAAACCTAAACATTGTTTTTCTTCAAAGTGCATACTGTTTCAATTACATTGACATTTTTAGTGTTTTCATTTTTCTAATGTATGACATATTCCATGCAATAGTCAAAGAAGAGGATGAAGTTCTTTACAATTCAAAACCCGAAGACTGGGATTTTACAGTTAATTATAATGGGGGAAAACCCTGTCACTTCTTGTAAAGCAGAAACTTTAAAAAGGTAGTGTATTCTACAATCATTTCAGCAAAAGTGAGTAAAATGTATGACAAACCAAAGCATCATTGAGGATCTTAATCATTGAAATGTGACAATTTCCGGCTACATGAAGCATCTGTCAACTCTGATTGCTGTCGTGTAAATGAATCGTGTGCAACTCTGTGTATTTTAAAATATTTTTCAAAGTTCAAAATCATTCCATATTATCATGTTAGCATGTACAGTGCATCATTTACAGGAATGCTGCATCCTGAAAGCTTCCAGTCAACGGTGGACCAGACATGTCCACTGTGATGGAGTTTAAGTGTCAGGAGACTGTCCAACTGTCCAGCTGTGGGGTCGTAGCACACATCATCATGCTTGTGGTACCTCTGCTCTACACCGTGAGTCACAAGTATATCACGTCAGAGAGCACTTCAAAAAAAATTCACAGAAAGCAAATTCAAAGCTAAGTTATGTACAAATCTTTGGAAATCCAGACATGTAACATTTGATACTGCTAATAAATGACTGCATCACTTACTAACGTATTTACTATATATTCTGTCATTATTGTGGTGTGTGCTCCTACTTATGGGGAAACACACACACACACACACACACACACACACACACACACACACACACACACACACACACAATGTCCAGGGGGAAACCTATGTGGTTCTGGCAGCAGAGTTCACATCTTCTGATGGCAGGAAGAGGCCGTGCTGGAGGATTGGCCTAGAGCACACAGCAGTGTCTGAGAACATGTTGAGTTGCACATCCTGTGATAAAACTGCCCAAGGATGCAGGCCTCAGAACCTGTCTCCAGCAACGTGGAGCTTGATGAGAAGGGTAAAGGGTAAGTGTGGCTTCCGAACAGTTCACTGAAATAAAAAAGGGGCACTCAGTGCCAATATAATGAAAGCAAAAGAGTCTTAAAGAGTCTTAGAAAAAAGTTCATGAAGAGTTAATAGACTCTTTTTAGTAGACAGTGGACACTGAGGAGGAGGTTTGGCCAAGTTGGGTCCTGACTGCTGTCCTTGGCATGGGAGACAGGATCCCCCCAAGAAAACCAGGGGCGATGATGATTTCTAGACCCCTCTTAAACTGCACTGTGGTTCATTGCCACATTCTTTACAAAGTGGGTGTTTACTTTTTTTTTTTTTAAAGATTTATTTATTGGGGCCCAGCGGCGTGGCCTAGCGGCTAAAGTCCTTGCCTTGAACACGCTGGGATCCCGTATGGGTGCCGGTTCTAATCCCGGCATCTCCACTTCCCATCCAGCTCTCTGCTTATGGCCTGGGAAAGTAGTCGAGGATGGTCCAAAACCTTTGAACCCTGCACCAACGTGGGAGACCTGGAATGAATTTCCTGGTTCCTGGCTTTGGATCAGTGCAGCACCAACCACTGCGGCCACTTGGGGAGTGAATCATCGGACGGAAGGTCTTCCTCTCTGTCCTCCTCTCTGCATATCTGATTTTAGAGAGGAAGATCTGCTCTTTCCCAGCCTGCACCCCCCCCCCCCCCCCCCCCGCCGCCGAGCAGCCAGTGTGTATGACGTCTCTGTGTTTGTCTGTCTAGATACATCAGAGGCAACTGCTCACAGCGGCACATGAGAACACAGGTTCTGGAATCAGAGTACAGAGGCGAACCTAGGAAAGCCACCTCATAAGTGTGCCTCAGCTCCTCAATTTGGGAACAGTAAGCTCGGATTGTTTGACTCTAAACCTTGTCCTCAGGGGACTTGGGTTCTAGCAGAGATGTTTACGAGGATTAAGGGAGTCAACAGCAAATCATGGGCTGGAACATAATAACCCTAATGAATGTTATTTGTCATTACTATGGACTACAGGTCTTTGCGTTTTGTGTCATCAATACTATCTTAATATTAGTCACATATTTAAACAGCTCAAATCAGCTTCTATCCACATAATTGTTTGGAAGTCGGATTATCCCTCAACTTAGGATTTACTGTAAAATTGTGATTGATTTTCTCACTCTCGTTAAATATGGCAGCTGTGAAGGTTAAAAAGTTAGAGAAGAAAAGCAATTTCATTATAAAAGTTTCAGAGAAAGATGCATGAGTCTTTACAGGACCAAAGGAATAGAAGAAAAGTTTTCTGAATAGTGAAAAATAATGTTTGTGTTTGTGTGTGTGTGTGTGTGTAAATTTAGGGCTAACAGGAACAGGCCATGTTCACAAGTGCAGCCTGAGGATGAGTAGATCAAGGTCTTTTAAAGACAAGACACGGAGAAACCGATACACATCAACACTGCTTGGTCCTCGGTGTTAGGTCTTCCCCACTGTTTCCACCAGAGACTGCATCATTTGCTACAGCCACAAGAGTGAATAAAAGATCAGCCACTTTAAAAGCAGAGGCAATTAGTATTTCATTCCATAATGATTTGGTTTTAAAGGATATGTCCTAAGATAATAGGGGAAGAACTCTCCTGCCTCATGCCTTTTCAAATTCTGCACCCTGAAAATAGTGGAAACTGGAATTTCTCTCCCGTTTCTATGTCCCTGGCAGAAGACACACTTTGTGCAGTCCACATTGCACACTGGACTTGCTCCTCAGGAGGTTTTTTAAAGGAGGATGCCAGTGACATTCCTAAGAAAACACCATAACCAACCAGCATATACACGAGATACACAAAGCAGACATTTCAAACGCAGCCTCAATAAAATTATAGGATTAGGACAAGGGAAGGGGAGGAGGCGGCATCTGGCTAGTGAGCTCAGCTGCCTGCGGCCCACAGCAGAGCACTTGGGTTAAATTCCTGGATC